GTTTTAAATTAACCAATAAGTATGAATAATTGAATGATCAACATTCAAACAGTAGTGCATATATTAACAGAAAGTATAGAATATATATGTTGGATCGATGAAATGATCATTATTTAGTGGTGCCTCTTGATCAATTATGCCAATTTTGATAAATTTATGATTAGATTATTTAAGGTGACTATATAAGAGACTGTTGTTTTTCATTTACACATATCTTACACTCGCTTGATAAAGAAAAATATTCGAAAGGTCTCGGGTTATCCATAGTTTAATTAATTATTTATATTATCTTGTTATTATTTCTTTTCTTTTTCTTTTTTCCCCTTGTTATTCTTCTAATTTATTAAAAAGTAATAAAAATATATAAAAAACAAAAACCAAAAAAATATTTTAAGTTAATATTTATTTTCTTTGTTATTATACATTTAAAAATTACAAATTCGTGTTGACTTGTTAAATTAAAAGAAATTCAAGTTAATCGGGGTCGGGGAATCCGAATTCGATGTTAGTTTTTTGAAATTTTGCTTTTTCCTTTTTTAAGTAGAGAGAAAGACATTTTTAGAAAAAAATTAGTTTTTTATAAGGTTTGACCGAAGGGAATCGATGTCGACGAACTCGAATTCGCGATTAGTTTGTTGAAATGTTGATTGCTACTATTTTTTATTGTGTAACAAATAATGGTGGTGGCTAGTCATTTGTGGCGCTCCGCAGGGATGCTGACGAACGACTAGCCGCTGGATAAAAACGTTTTTGGTACAGTGGGGTTCATGCCACAGATCTATATGTTAATGTTTTGGTACTGGCTCGTTCTTTGTCGACTGAGCCGGTTCTTCCATTTGAAGAAAGCAATGAGCAAATTGGACTCTGAAGTAGATCAATGATATGTTATCTAGTAATAGTATTTCGTCAGTTTTCATCGAAACATGCTTTTTTGAAAGAAGTGAAAATGATGTGGATAATCTGTATGATATCCGGATCTATCTACGATGGATATTATAACATGGTCAAGGCTAGCTGTGAGTGGCACCCCAGAGGGGCGCCGACGAACGACTAGCCGTTTAACATAATATTGGTGGAAATCAACTTTCGGACCACAGAAACAAATTGAATAATGCTATATCAACAAGACCTGTTTAGTTAGGACTCTTGGGCGGGTGAGCATAAAGCTGATTATAAATTTTCTTTTATTGTGGCGCTCTAGGTTGTGGTACGAAGAAAGCTAAAGCTTATTTATTCCTTGCGAACGATCATATCTGGGTTATTAGAACCACGTTTTTGATCAATGATCATTCAGTGGAGAGATCAGTAGGTGAAATTATAAGACTTTTGAACTAAGCTGGCTACGGTGCTTTAAAATATTCTATGCTTTCAGTAGAGGGTCAGCGGCGCTTACGCCGCGTTACTTGTTAATACCGTTATGAAGCTCGGTGTGAAAAACCTCGCTCTGAAGCGGTTTTCAATGAAAATTTTTTTCGTGAGATATCGAGCAGGTACGGTTGTGTACAGTCAAATATGAAATCTGTAATCTTCTACCTGGGAATTAATTAAATTACACTCATTATTTTTCAAACAACATCTGCAACAATTATATCTCAAAGTGCATCAAGTAAGGTGATAGACTGATTTTAAAATCCTGAAAATAAACTTCATTACAATTTTTCCATTTAAATGATTTCACATAAAATAATCATGACTTGCCGATATTTTTATTTTCTTTCAAATGTTCATTCAGCTAATTTCAAAAAAAAAACTAACAATAATTTTAATTGAACCTATAGAACTAATTAAGCTGTTTTTCAATTCACACAGCTTCTTTATATAAAATTCAAGCAAATTTTCTTGTAATAGATCAAGATTTTATCATTGTTTGCAAAGCATAGCTGTGAAATAAATCTAACGAACGCTCCACAGTCATAGATCTCAATGTCTGCCTCTCTGGAAACAGGCCATTTTCAAGATGTATTCTTAGTAAAATGAAAGATTTTGATGATGAATAAGTTGTAATAATGAATCGTTTCCTGTTTTTTGACTAGATTGAGCAAAAATCGTTTGACTATATTTTGTTGGAAAAAATTAAAATAGATGTCACTAACGAGAAATGCATCTGCTATTGATTGCACGACAAAAAACGTCTTCAACCCTCCTCTTCTGACAATATACCAGCAAAGGAAACCTTAAGCTAAGAAATAAACGAAATATTTGTTTAGTAGTTGAAATTCTTCTATCTGTTTTTTTCTTTTTAGTAAAAATTATCTTTCCTAAAAAGGAAACTATTTGATGAGTCATCTCTAGATATTTTTTAGAACAAAAAAATCTCGCATTTTCACTTGCCCTGAAATTTCTATAGAATTTTCATGATCTTTTTTTTTTGTTTTTAATAATTTATATTTATATCAAAGAAAATCTTTTGTAATATGGAATTCATTTTTAAAAGGCATTCTTATTTTTTTCAAGTATGTTCACCATTTTTTGTTCGTTGATCTTCAATGGAAAACAAAACTTTTACACATATTCAAAATTCTTCATCCATAGTTAATCATTCATTCAACAGTGGTACACGTATAGTAAATGCTTCCAATTCATTTGTTCTTTCTCCAACAATAAACTCGTCAATAGCAGCAGCGTCATCCTTACAAACTTTACAGGTCAGGGAAAAGTCAATAGAAATAACATAGATATATGTGTGAGTTGTAGTAAAATCTATTTCATCGTTTAGGCTATTCCTATAACTCGATCAATTCAAATTTATCCTGACAATAATAATAATAAAGGATCAAATATTGTTATTACTCAGCCAACATTCAAGTACGTTAATATAAATAAAAATAACTATTTAAGATAATTGTTGTTATAATTATTTGGGCAGAAAATTATTAGGTGAAACAGTCAAACAAGAGCAATTAGAAGATAAATCTACACAAGAAGGATATTCTATAGCAAAACATAAAGTAACAAGTGCTGAATCAAAAATAAACGATACTCAACCATCTACAGGTAATTTATTTCTTGAGAAACTTCTATGACTATTGTTTCTTTTTCTTATCAGTTATTACTTCTGTTAATCTTAATCCGCGTGAAACAATAAACGGCCTTTCAAATAATTCAATGACAAACGTTGGTGCTCATATTATGTCTACATTAAATCCAGTTCATTTGCCAGATGTTGCCGGAAATTATTTTGTCTCAAGTAAAAAGACACTCGTTAAAATTGTTACATTTGTAGAATCTTATATAATTAAGTTAGAAACTAAGAATTGAATCTCATCTAACAGATAATGGATATTAAAATGCTATTTGTAAAAAGGATCATTATTTAAAGAAAAATCTTTTCTTTCAACATTGATGACTATAGTTATGTTTGATGGTATCTGTTGAATATTGTGTTAATCTCCAATGGTTTATGACCTAATTGTAGTATAGAACTACAGGATGCAATATATTTGTACACAGAAATTTACTCAATAATTATCTTATACTAATTAAAATATATCTAATTTTATCTGAAATTTATATACGTATGATCTCGTAAGATGTAGAGAAGAAAAATTCACTGGGGAAATAACCCGATTCTAGCTCGTTCTTTCGACTTTATATTGGATATACAAGGAGTTATTGATAAATCTTAAAGAGTTTATTCGCAGGAGCTCTGAAAGTTACGCTATGGTTGTTGTACCTATTGTTTGATCGATTTATAGTTGTTTAGTAGAAAATCAAATAATATGATTCTTATGTATAATTTGATTCATTGATGTAGATTTAATCGACAATAGAATAATAGGATTATTTCACCAAATAGAATATTTTTTTTTGTTAACATACTGCATTTTTAAGAAGATTCGTCTACCCTAACATGTTAGTGTGAAATGAAAATGTTAGATTTCTCTAACATTGCCATTAAAATAAAAGAATATTTTCCGTTGACATATTTTTTATATTCTGAGGGTCATTAGACGTATCTGCGGTCGAAATTGCATTACTTAACTACATAATATGTACGTAAGAAAGATGGAAGAATTCAATAAAACGATCATCACTAAGTTCATCAAGTAACATTCTGTTTTAGCTTCGCTAGTGCCATCATCATTTGAATGTTTTTTTATGTGTTTCTAATGATGAATTCTTACTCTTTGAATTTAGGTTTGCCAAGTGATCTAGCCTCTAATTATAAAGTACATCCATCTTCAACTTCTGATCTACCATCGCCATCGAATTCATCGAATTCTTCGAATCCTTCGTCATCCAATCAACACAATCACTCAAACCATCAACCAAAACGACATGGCGAAGGTAACGACCCTAGTCGAAAACGAGAAATGCGCTTACAAAAGAATCGGTAAATATAAATTTGTCTTGAATAGTTTTTTGAATTTTATATAACCTAACTTTTTTAGCGAAGCAGCACGTGAATGTCGACGCAAGAAAAAAGAATATATAAAATGTCTTGAAGAACGTGTAACTGGACTTGAAAATCAGAATAAAGCCTTAATTGAAGAATTGAGACAATTAAAAGAATTGTATTGTCAACGAGAAGAAACTAATAATACTACTAATAATAATAAAACAACAACCACAACACGTTAGAAAAAAATAACTAATTAACAGTATTTTTTCTTGGCTATCTATCTGTATACATTTATATTTTTATCTTCATTTCCTTATTAAACACTTTTTTGTTTATTGTGGAAAGAGTTTTTCTGTTCTTTTATTGTGTATTTTCTTGTCTACTGTGTGTATTATTATTATTTTTTTTTGCTTGATTTTATGTGATTTTGTTTTGTATTTTAAAGTTTGTATTTTGTGAGAACGTACGAAGAACAGGAACGAAATAAACACAGTTCATGTGTTCTTTTATTTATCATATATTTTTCTTTACTTTTCCTTATTGTAGACATGGACATTGACAAAAGTTAACAAAGTAAGTTACATTCTTTTTACTAGAAATTTATAGTTAGCATTGATGTAAAGAAAATGGTTGTTGTATAGAAATTGAACTAATTATTCTACGTCTGATCTTTGAAGATCTGTATAGTATGTAGCTATATATTTTTTCATTAGAGAATATTTATATAATAAATTTCAATTCTAGAGAAAATATCTCAATATTTCTAGTCAAGTCTAGTTCAATTTACGTTTGTTTTAGTCACCGATAAATAAGGGTCTTTCATTTTCATTCTATTTAAACTGCGTAAGAGCTGCTGAATAATTTGATGTGTTTATCAAAACCTAATCTGTACCTATAAGTATCGTAAGGAAAAACCTTTCGTTTTATCAAAATTTTTTGACTCAGAAAGCAAAAGCATCTGAGATATTTCAATTGGTGACAAGTTCTTTTTCTTTTACTCACCGAGGTCTATTTATTTTCACAATTTCAAACATCTATGGTGAGCTGATCTGTAAGACGAAAAGGTGCCGAAAACGAACAGAGCTTTCATGTAGTTTGATGCCCATCATTTTCGAGTTTAATCTTAACATAGATGTATAGTAATATAATATTATTTTTCTATGATACAGCAATCATAAAGAAGTCAGATGATACTGTTAAAGTTAGAATTTGCGTATGAAATCAGTTAGTGAAGGACCGGATTATCCAAGCAAACAGTTGAAAACTTGCTACTTCTCTCGATTTAATTGATGATTTTTTCTTCTTTTAATACTAGAAAGAGAATAAAAATATTAGAGAACATTTTTTATTTTCTATTTGTTTTATCAGTCTTTTTAAAAACTATGGATTTACCTGTTCCATCATCATCAAACTTGCACCGTTCTCATTCTGATCGTGATCTTATAACAACTGAACGTCGTGCAAGTCGACCTCGTTTAGCAAGTTCATCATCATCATCATCAAATATTCCAATACAAATAACAGCTACATCATCAGTACCTTCAAATACTTCAGTACCAGCATCGCCACTTTTATTACCATGGGATCGTTTACAAAAATGGTTATATGGCATTGCTGTTGTTACGTTTGATCTTGAATTAGGACAATCCATTGAACTTCTTATACCAAATCATTGTAAATTATCAGATAAAGAAAAATTAAATCTATCTTATTTATCATTTCCCGATGCTAATTCAACATTTCTTGGTGATATACAATATCATTTTCGTATCAGTCACGAATCAAGTTTACCAACGTATTACCAATATTATAATTCTATTGTTCCACCAGCTCTACAAGTTGATAGTAATTCACTATTTGGTTATGTACATTTCCGTCAAATACGTGATAAAACAGTGAAACGTGGTTACTTTCAAAAATCACTTGTACTTCTATCTAAACTCCCATTTATATCATTATTTATCTCCATTGTTAGTCAACTTGGTCCAAATTATTTTCAATATGGTTTAACCAGTTTAGAAACATGCTGTCATTTAATGGATCGTCAATGGCCAGAGCCCGAACCGGGAAAAACTTTATTATTACCTTTATTAGGTAATGTTCTTCAAGCACGTATTCCGACACATGGTGATAAACCATTCTCATCATCAGATCTTATACAATTTCGTTCCATTGTTAATGAAACAATGTCAACAACTACTAATTCGAGTAGTAGTAATTCAATTAGATTTCCTATTGATGATGACACAGATATTGATACCATATCAACACATAATTCGCAAACCAAACAACCACAACCACAACAACAACAACAACAACAACAACAAGTAATTAAAATTTTGATAAATGTTGTATTTCTATTGTAGAATTGTTTTTTGTTTTAGATATCAACTGCGACTAAAAACTATTCATATACATCGTTTGAATTTTTACAAAAGCATGAACAGCAATTACCACGTTTAATTCCATTTGTGCATGATGTTAATACGTATCAATCATTATTTTCTGTTTTAACACACATTCAATTGTTATGGGAATTAATTTTATTAAATGAACCCATTGCTATTTTTGGAAGTTTTCCTACCTACTGTTCTCAAACGGTTCAAGCACTTGGTAAATTATGCTAGCTAATTTTACTTTTCTTAGAAAGAATATATTATTAATAATTGATGATTTTAATTTCACAATGACGTTAAATTATCACCATAAGTGTTAGTTTTACTTGTAAAAAAAAAACTATTATCCGTTCCAGAAGTCAAGACAGTCGGTTGTTTTTTTTAATAACGTTTGATAGGAACAAGATAGAGACCTGCGTTTTTCATTGTTTGATAGTTAAGACCCAGACACATATTTCCACAAGCAAAATTTTTTCTAAGGAAAAATTTGAAGACCAATTTTTCAGAGGATCACTGAAAAGCTACTTTGGATTTCTGGTAACTGTTATAGAAGTCTATAGATTTTCTTACACATTCGGAATCAGCATTAAAAACTGAGTCGACCAATACATATTTCGAACCTTTCACGAACTTTTGTTTAAGTCGAGAAATTCACCCCTGTGGTCTCGCCCAGGAGTCGGTCAAAAAGTGAACTCCAGAAAAATTCCATTTGAACAGTAGGAAGCAGGTTCCAAGTTTGTAGAATGCTGTTAGAAACCAAAATGGTAAATGAATAATCAACAAATACAGATTTTATTTTGTCTCTTACTTTTAGTTCACATAATATGGCCATTAAGATATGCATCTGATTACCGTCCGTTTTTTACTATCCATAATAGTGAATTTCAAGAGATTACATTTAATTCATCAAAGAAATCTTCGAATAAAATTTCTTCTTCATCCACTCTACCAACACAACCATCGCTAATCATCGGCGTAACAAATCCATTTTTTTCTAAACTTCTTAATCGATGGCCACATATAATCCGTGTTAGTGACAATAAAGAAGAGCGATTTAAATCTAAACAAAATGAATATTTTCTTGGTGTAGAACATGAAGATGATGATTCACCCGTAAATGACGTTGAAGATAATACAGATTTATCATCATCACCACAAACACCAAAACAAGCATCGTTAAAAAAGTTTGCAACTAACACAAAACCATACAAACATACACGTTCAATTAATAGTAATTCGTCACATTTAACATTCGATATAAAACCTGGTTTATATACTAAATATAAATCATATTTACAACGTGATAAAACCATATTAAAAAAACTTCAATCGACTAATTCTCAACAACGTCCTGATACAGTTCAAAATGCTTTAATACGTCGATTTTTTCTTGAATTAACACAAAGTTTTATTATTCCACTTGAGCGTTATTTCACAAGTCTTTTACCATTACGTAAATATTATCAACCAAATCGTAGACCACCAACAATAAAAAATTTTGATAATGAAGATTTTCTTAAAACACTCGATCAATATGGACCACAATTAACATCAGGTTTGAAAGGTGATTGGAAAGAATTATATAAACATTTTCTATCAACACCAAACTTTCGTCTTTGGCTATTAAATCGGCGACAAGAAGCAAATGCAAAGATCTATTCATTATATATTGAAACAATAGCTAATTGTCGACTTGAACAAGATTTAAAACTTTCGAAATTAACTGAAATCGAATTAGTTGATTTGCTCTTAAAATTCAATGATTTAATTCAACGTTTAGAATCGAAAACAGATGAGTTATTATTGACAATCGATCCAACAGTTACAAATGATTATATGGAAAAACTAAAAGGAAAAATTAAAGTAATCATTGACGAGAAATTATCTGATGATATGAAGATATTATTTGACAAACAAGTTAAAATATCTTTATCGTAACAATTCTTAATCAATAAATGAAATCGGTGATTATAGTAAACTTGTTGCTTTTTTTCTCTTCACTGTAATCAATACTCGTGCGTTCAAATTACTATTATTGTACACTTATTTAATGTATTTTCTTTTTTTCATGAGATTGTTATTTAAAAGAACAAAATAGTCTGTTTATATAAATGCAAAATAAATTGAATACTCATTAGGGGGGAAAATAAAAAGTGCACTTGCAATAAGAAACTATCTGCCTTCTCTATTGTTTATTTATTAGATGCTCAATGATGAATTTGAGTTTATGCACCTATAAATCTTTTTGTCGAACTGCCTGTTTAAGTATTTGGTAAGATTTTCTCGTTGGTTACAAAAACTAAAATCTTATTAATTTTTAATATATGTTAAGTTAAGAAAAAACAATTTGAAAAGCTCACCTTCATTGGTTAAATATACTTTAAAAAATAACTAAATCCAGCCTATTAAAGATTGAATTTTTTTATGTATATTTTAGGCAACCGATTCGTTTTATTTCTACAGCACTACCCGACAGTTGGTATAAACGTTTACCTCCTATTGATGAAAAAGATATTGAAGAAAAAGCTATCAAAGGTTCAGGGCCAGGTGGACAAGCAATAAATAAAACACATAATTGTTGTCAAATAAAACATATTCCAACGGGTAAAATAATGGTGCTTAATTTTCCGTCATAGTTTAATCATATATTAAAAAGAAAACTATTCGAAAAAATGTTAAAACATAATGAAACAAAATTATTTCTTATTTAGGTATTGTTGTATCATGCCAGCAAACTCGTTTTCTGGAAAAAAATCGTTTTCTTGCACGTCGTCAATTGCAAGAAAGATTGGATGTTTTGTATAACGGTGATCAAAGTCTTGTTGCACAATATAAACGCGAAAAAAGTGAAAAAAAAGAAGCTAAACGTTCAGAAACAAAGAAAACTTTAGAAAAGAAACGTGCATTTAAATCTGAACAAGATATTTATTCAACTAATAATACAAATGATAAACTACCAGACAAATCAAATGAATGAGCATTCACGAAACTATTTATTTCTTGCATATATATATATATTATATCAATATATGAAAGACTTAACCAGAAAATAAATGTGAATTTGGATGTTTACATCGATGAGAAAATCTTTTTTTTGGCAATCGAAGTACTTTCAATGTATATCTTCACATGTATCTTAAAGATTAGCGTATAACAATTCGTGAATCCTATATTGAACTGAATTTCTATACGCATATCAAAATAAAAATGAGAAAACATCGGATTTGCATCCGATTGTTATGTGTAGTGCAAAAACTGAGTCGATTTATATATGTTGTGAATAACTCTAAGAAAAAAATGTTCTTTTGAAAAAATCCCTGTACCCCCCTCAGGGATGATCTGGCCAATACTGACAATTTTTTCGATAAATCAGCCACTTCTTGACGGATCCTTCTCATCTTCGGACTCGACTGAGATATTGATGAGATCATTATGTGTACAAAATTTCATGACAATTGGATGAGACTTTCAAGGGTTATCGTGTTAACGGACGGACACACTGACCGAATCTAGAGTGTACTCACTTTTTTTGAGTACACAAAAAACTATCTTCTTCTGTTAATATGTTTGCACTTCGATCTCATTCAAGCGATCGATACGGAAAAAACAAATCACTCAAGTTTTACAATGAGTGGTATGCAAATATATTTATCTATAGTAAGCGTGTTGATTAGCGTAAAAGAACCAAAATTCTAATCAGTACATATAGATTTTTTTGTGATGTATATCATGCCAAAATTTGTTTCAGAATACAATGCAAGACTTTCATATTATTCTTCATCTTTTTTTCTCTCAAGATCATAAGAATATTGAGCCATCGTATAGTACTTCTACTTCAGTGTTCAATGTCAATCATTCATTGCGATTCTTTTGAAAAGATTGATAGAGTATATTTTAAAACAATATCTAGCATTATAAGAATTGTCTGTGTTGAGAAATTTCTAATATATTGGAAATCAATAGAACCATTTGCTTCTATTCTATATAATTTATTAGTAGGTTTTTTTTTACAACCTAATGTCTAAAGAAACATTACAATCAATAAACAAAATTTACAAATATGTTTTCATAGATAAATTCATAGATGGTGTTCGAAAGACTAATAACATTTTATGGTGTGCCGTTTTAATTTGTGCTAAAATTTTTCTTGAACTAGTTATTTTAGTTGTTGAAATTTTGTTCCAATTAATTGCTGAAACTATTTCATTTGAATCAACAAAGCCTGGTGGTTGATAATCATCAGGTGTTATTGATGAATTGTATTGAATTTTAACACAGAAGCGATAATTCGATCGATTATCAATAGATTGAAGACGTTCATCGACAAATTGATTGATTTGTTCTAATGCTTTTAGTACTTGTTGTTGTATATCATCAACTGATGTTGTACTTGAAAAACTTTCATTATGATTATCGATTCCAGTACTATTATAAGCAAAATAATATTCATACATTTCAAGTATTGAATCATCTAATTTTGAAATAACAAAAAACGTAGCCAATTTTAGATAACCTTTGGACAAAGCTTGATGCACACCTTGAATCTAAAGTATTGGCGAACGAAAGTTAATTAAAATAAAAGTCATCAATAGTAAGTAGTGTTAAAATACCCATGAGAAAACTGTTGAATTAAATCGCTGTTGTTCAATCATGGTTGATGGTCGAGTAAATAATGGAACAAATAGTGAGCCTAGTTTTTTTGATGAAAAATGATCATTCGAAAAAATGTGTCGTCTAGCTGTTAGTGCTGATAGAGTAACAGTAAACAGGCGATGAAGAAATAATGTTGAATCTGATTCCGTAGTAATATCCAGTGGAAAAAATTTACACCATTCGCGGGAATCAATTGTCGACATTGACGTTAGTAGACGAGCAAAATTTTAATTTAACGTATATCTATTATGTATGCTTACATATATAAACCCTTCGTGGTACTTGTCACGTTTCTCTATATTATTTTTTTTTTCGTTCAACGTTATACTAAACGAACGCTCTTCATTTCTAGATGTCAGTAGAATGTATAAATAATGAATATCTATTCGAATAAGTTTAAAAGGTCTATTTTCTATTTCACTGAATGATTGTAAGTTGAAAAGAGCAAGAGTGTTTTTCAAAATTCGAACTAAATAAAGTACTCATCATTGAAACCGCATGTTTTGAGTAGACGCAAAATATTCAACATGCAAGAAAGCTTTGTTAATGGATCAAAAATTGATTTCGATTATATTGTGATGTGCAGTAAAATTTAGTCGAAATAGTGGATATTATTTTGATTTTCTTATCCAATATAGTTTGTCTCTATCAAAGCTGTTCGAGATATCCGAATTGTAATGAGAAAATTGGCTTGTGTCTTCGAGTTCATTGCACGTCAGAAAAAAAACTTCTTCACATTGTTCTATGAATAAGTTTCACAAGATTTTACTGAAATGCGATTCAACATGTCTTGCATCGTCTAGTTATTGCTATTCTTGAAATGATGTACAGCATAGAATCTAGGCGTATCACAAAAGTATCTGTTGTAAAGCAATAGTTTTTGCTAAATTATGTGCATTTTCTTCGAATAGATTATAATAAAAGATGACTAAAATATCCTCTTATTGTTAGAGATACTGAATACACATTTTATTTCATAATTTACAGAGGATGAACATTTTCTATGCTTTTTGTGTAGAAATTATTATGGATGATTGGGAATTAGTTTTTGTAACGATAAAATCGCACGGACATATTTTCTAAATCGTATAGAATTTATTTTCGATATAACAGAGAGCTGTAAATGAAGCAAAAAAGTTGCAGAATACTGTAACGATTTCTGATAGAAGAGAAGCTTGTGCTGATGGTATTACACTTTATTTCACTCTTCAAATCATAATACCGCCTCGATTACATATAAAACACACGCTTAAATACTCAATCACTTGAGAGAACGAAGGAGAATGAGAGATAAAGACAAATATCAAGGACAGAAAGATAAAGGCAATACATGTGATGAGAAGAAATGGCACCATAAGGCCAAATACCATGCACAGACCACACTCGAACGGGAGTGTTACACTCCCACGTGGAATCTCCCCATTTATCGTTACAAATACATCTTGAAGAAACATATACATATAGACAACTTCTGCAAAAGTTGAACGAATATGAAACTAATGTTCAATTATTTATTGAATTTTAATCATATTAATGTTTTATTTATTTTTTTTTTAAATTTTGAATATGTTTTTGAACTCCAGTTACGTGCTTATGTGTTGGCGGTAAAGTTTTACTACTGATTTCAAGTGTTTTCTGATAATATTCTAATGATTTTGTGTAATCTCCTTTGCATTCATACAACACAGCGATATTGTTGTAAATAGCAGCGATTTGTGGATGATCAGGGGGTAATACTTTCTTTCGAATATCAAGAGCTTTGCTATAATATTCAAATGCGGCATCATATTTTGAGAGATCAGCATATGTATTACCTATCGTATCATAAGTGGCAGCGAGATCAAGAGAATCCGGAGAAAGTGTTTTTTCTTGTATCTGCATTGCTTTAGCCAATTCAAGTAAAGCTTGTTCATAATTACTTTTATTTCGATAAACATCGCCGATAAAGGTCAAACTCTCTGCAACACTCGGATGATCGTTTCCTAAAATTCGTTGTCGTATGCTTAAAGATTCATTAAAATGTTCAAGACTTTCGTTGTAATTCTTGCATCGCATCGATGCCCATCCAAGACCTAATTGAGCATCTGCAACAGTAAGTTGAGTCTCATCTAACATTCGTCTATAACATTTTCGTGCTTGTTCATTTTCATCCATTCTAAGCAAGAGTTTGCCAAGTGAATCCAAATTAGTATCGTCACCAATTTTTCCTTTCATATGAGTAAATATTTCTTTCAAATGATAGTCATCTTCACATGCTAACGATACATTAGCTATCCATAGTCTATTTTCTTCATCTTCGGTTACTTTCTCGATACGAAATAGTGCACCAAGCATAATCAATATCTCATTTTCTTCTTCATAATAGCTTGCCTTACCAATCTCAGCAAAAGCTTTTGTTCGTAGTCGAGGATTGATTTCAATTTCAAAAAGAATAGGCCGCACATTATCTCGTCTACGAGTAGTCTGAGTAAATGTAAGTGCAACATATCGATCACGACTTGTTGATAGGAAAGAGTTCATTGACAGAAATTCGCCTATATTATTTTTCATTAATTCAAGTTCATCAACATTAATTAATTGTCCACGATAAACTAGAATTGTTTTTCGATTAACATTCGTACGAATGAACTTTTCGTATTCAGATTTTATTTGCTTCGCAATGTCAGTAATAAAAAATCGAAAAGCAAATATTTTATCAAAATCTTGCACACCCAATGCTTTGTTCATCATTCGATATAAGCATGAATCTCTTGTATACCACCAAATCGCTTTTTCTGCGTTGTAACTCTGTTCAAATTCTTTAATAATCTCTATCTGATCAGGATTATCCGCATAGGACTTTCTGCAAAGCTCAATAAGTTCTTTACGATCACTGGATTTATGATGCATACGAAGAAGAATTTCAATAAACAATTGAAACCACATAAAAATAGCATTTCGAGCTTGAAGATTTTGCGATTTAGAACTGATAACAGAAACTGAAGTACCATCTTCTTCTTTTATTCGAGTAATTTGATCATTTGAGATTTGCTTAATGAGTTGATCGCGTTGTACTACAACAGCATTAATCTGTAAAAAAAAATAAATTGTTAAATCAAAGTTACTAAACCTAATTTACAATATTTTACTTTGTTGTATTGACTCGCCCATTGTTCATTTGCTGCTTTATTTTGGCAAAAAACGTAACACGCAGAAAATTGTGGAAGATCATGAACTCGAGGCACCAATTTTCGACCTAATGCCCCTGATACAATTAGAACAAGTTTTTCATGCTTAACCTTGCGAATGTATTGTTCACATTGATCGCTATCAGTAAATGCTCGAAGATGATTTATTATTTGACGAAGTTCTTTCTGAGTGTTTAAGTTGTATTCTGTCGCATTGGCATCCACATCGAGCCACAAACATGTGAAAGATTCGACATTAGAGGCCATTGAATAGCGAGTATTTGTTGTCGAACTGGAATCGCTAAACAATTTGGCTATTTTTGTCTTTTATGTTGGTAGGTAAATATTTGAATAGAACACTCGCGTAAACAATTCAATACTACCTCAAGTTTTTTTTCTTTTTACTTGCAAAAATTCATCGTGTTCTTCATTTAAGTTTACAGTAGATCTCAATTTTAGAAGTTATCACGTGCCAAAATATGTTTCTTTTCTGTTTCTTATTTTTCTTATTTACCACCAAAATATTCAAATTTTACTGACAATAACTATGTTGTTGTAGGGCGATGCTTGTCGCAGAAAAATGAAAGGCATTAATCGATAGAAACAAGTGACTCCCTATCAGCAAAGCAAGTATTTTCTTCCTTCATAAAACTTAAGCTTCATAAAGTCATCCAAAATAAAAACCCCACAAACGAAAGCATCACGTGTCTGTATTATAAATATTATGGTTATAAAAATTTAAGTATAGCATACAAAGTCAGCAGTGTTTTCCAAAGTATATATATATAGCTTTTCCACAGATGAATAAACTGCATTCACCAATAGTTTTAACCATGCATTTATTTCTATTATCTTTTAAAATAAAGTGCTAAACATGAATGGAAATTCGTATACGTATATCTGTAGTAGCACTCAGATAGATAATAATAGGGAATCACTAGAAAAAAAACGATGGTAATTCCAAGAAATCGTTTTCTTTACTCACTTTTTCCAAACATAAAAATTGCATTGCCATATGTCAAAAGGCCGTCTCTTTTCTTTTCAGAAAGAACTATATAATACAACAGGTCATGCCAGGAAAAACACAAAGATAATAAATAAAAAAAAAGTCGTTGTACACTCCAAGAGAAGATTATTATAGTATGAATTCCTTGCTATTCAACAAGAAACTAAACATAGCTATTCATTCAATTTAAGAAAATATATGAATTGATGTTAACATAAAAAGATATCGTTTTGGTTTAGATATCCATCCATCAGGAGAAAGTGTTGCAAAAATCATATTAGTAATTATTGATATCTATACTATTTTCGTGCATAATAGCTGTACTACTGTGATGCATTTAAATTGATTAATGAGAAAACTTTTTGTATTAAATAAATATTCAGATTCAGAGACGATGAAGTGTCGAAATAAACATATTTCAATGCAATCATGAATCATTTATTTACGTTCGAATATCAATTCAAAAATAGCTTGTATTCTCTCGTTTGTGCTCACTTGAACACAGCTATTACTTGGTTTCAATCAATTTTATCAAGTTTTTCCAACGGTTACTGAAATTTAGTTTGCAAACATTTAGGGATAAATTCATATGAATAATAGATGTACACAAGCTGCAAGTGTAAGTTTACTGAAATATTACTATAGCTAATAGATTTCGATAACTACTTGCTTGTTTCTCACTTCGAGTGTTTTCTAAACTAGTTTGCTTGGCTCTTACGGTTCACGTGGCTGCGATTCAAGAATTTTTAAACTCAGCAATACGTATCAATTGGAAAATAAAAAAGTATGATTAAAAACTGCTGTCAAGCATAGCCACAACTTTATAAAAAAGATGTAATGAAAATAAAATAGCATCATTTTACTAGAAGAATTTTTAAAATCATAATCAAAGACAAAGACAAAATAAACAAACTCATTGGAATAGTTGTTTTAGCATAATTACATAAATTTGATTGATAACACCATAGACCGTTACCATTTACATTATTTTGAGCGAACCATTGAGAGATATCTCGGTCGACAACAGTCAATATCGATGATTTCTATTTTCATAAGTAAAATCTGTACATTTTATATTAAGATTAATAGATTCACTCATCCGACTAAAATATCCTTGATTAGCAGGTACTGTTACAGTTGCTACATTTTTTGGACTGAATGAATCTTCACAATCAGTACATAAATAGCATGAAATAGTAGAAGCTATTAGAGCTATATGCGAAAATATTCCTATAATACTCAAAATAAATTAGAGCTCTTTTAATTACCTGTGGTTACTGTTGTTGTCGTCATTGTGGAAGTAAATAAAGAGCCTAGAAATAATAGAAAAAAAGCTTGGCTCTAACTCTCCATTATCGAATATTCACAATATCACCATCATCAATATTTCCATTCATATCAATAGAAATGGTATAAGGGCCAACAATATCAGCCTTATTAAATTTGTAAGATGAAATAGTAGAATTTTTTTCTTTGTATGAATATATAGAATTTGAAGTTCTTGTAATAAATGTTCTGCCAGGATAAACAGAGTAATTGACGTATTTATATAAAAACGAAAGCCATCTTGCGTCGTATCTTGAAATATACCACCATCATAAATTAAAAATTTCATCGGATAACGAAATAAATAAGTTTCCCATGGTGAGATTTCAAAGAAACCATATATATGAACATAAACAGCATTTATTGTTGATTGGTTATGTCTTGTTACATTTCCATGTGCTGGTATAAACAAAACACATCCGCTATAAATTGGTGAGCAACGATCGAGTGTTGATGCTAATTCACCTAACCATGTAGAATTGAGTCCGAAATTACCTGATTGATAAGGAACAAATGTTATTGCTAAAACGAAAAAATATGAAGAGTATATATTATTTAATTAATTTAAACTTAATTTGCAGGAATAGTTTTCAATTGTTCCTTGACGATCAACTGTTACTGTAAATGGGCTCTGAATATTATTACTCAATATTTGATTTGAATCATTTGAATTAGAAACAATTTTCGTCAGTTGTGATGAATAGAATGAAGTGTTTGGATAAATAGTTATTATTGAATTGGATAAAAGAAACCATGTAAGATTTGATGTCAACTCTTCTAATAATCCTCCATTGAAAACCATTATATTTATTGGATATGAAAATTTAAATGATTTTATTGAATTCGAACTATACGGAGAACCAATTTGTAAGTTTCCATAAATTTTTAATGATTGAATACTCATATTTAAATGCGATTCATTACTAATATAGACACTGATATCCGAAGGAATTATTACAGTAGAATCATTCCCTGTTTGTATGTTATTACTCCATGTATTTAAACAATTAAAATCACCCGATTGATTGGCTATTACTATAATTGAGTTTCAATAATAAACTATTATCTTCATAAATATTATCTAGTATATTCTCTCTACTTACTTGTTAATGATTTTATTTCCGTTAATAGTATTACAAAACAAAGTAGAAAAATGATAAACATACTATTGTACAAATTGCACAATACAACTATTGAATATTAGAATTTCTAATGATGAAAATCAATGGTCTATTTAATAAGATGTCTTAGTTTTTTTTTAAATTCACAATTTTCACTTCAATTATTGTCCAATATGGTTGACAGTATCTCTAATTGAGTCTTGTTAAATCATAACTTACACAGAAGAAAAATGACGACATGCACAATGTTCATATGCATCGATTGGCGAATAATTTCGATATATTCTTAAAAATATCCTAAAAAATAAATCGAATCTGATTCTCGTAGTTCCATTATATAGAGTATATCAACATGAGGCTGTTGTTTACTCCTGTGTATATTGACAAACTATTTAAAAGGAAGGTCTTCCGTTGTCGCTTCCTTTATTGATTCTCAGATTGAAAAAGAAATTGTCATATTATTCGTCATGAAATGTTAAATCAGCCTCCTAGATCGAAAGTGAAAGTATCAATGATATGTATCGATGACTTTAAATTGTTTCAATTATCAGAATTGTATGAGCTCTTGAACAAATTAAATGCTTTTCATATATTTATCATTCATATAAAAGCAAGTACAAAAACATCATTGAAACTATTCTGATAAGCAAAATTTATACGATGTGGCTCATAAATATATTTTTCTTTATTGGCCTATCAATCGCATGTTCTTTAAATACCGATTCCAGTAAGTAAATAAGAGATTTCTTGGTTTTAAATAAAAGAATGTCATAAACTATTTTAGGAGCATTGGAAACAAAATTAATATCTGAAAAGAATCTTACGTCATTTTCGAGTTTTGATAAAAATCTAAAATATTTTATTGCTAATAAACTGCACTCAATATCGGATTCTCTCCATTATGGGAAGATAATTCCGTCATTTTCTGTTCAACCAAATGAAGGTGAACGTCTGCAAGTATTAGCACGTGCAAATTTTGAACGAATAATTAAAATACGCGGTAGTCAAACACATGGAAGAATTATGATAATGGAAGGAGAAATTTTAGTTGGAGAAGGTCCACCGACTCATATTCATCATTGTGAAGATGTGTATTTTCATGTTTTAAAAGGCGAACTTGAAATTGAAGTTGGAGATCACAACATTTTTTGGGAACAGTTGACACATGGATGTATGCACCACGCCTTTTAAAACATCGATATCGAAATGTTAATTCAGTTGGTGCAAGATTACAATTTGTATTTCAACCAGCCGGTATTGAACATTATTTTGAAGAAGTTAGCAAAGTTATTGTTGCACAACAACCAGATTGGCAAAATCAAGCAGCTGCTGTTGCAGAAAAATATGAAATTGAACTTCTCGGAAGACCGGATTGGGCTGGATGATTGGGTCGAAAATTCTTTAAACCATTTAGTTCTCTTTGTCACCTAATTTTAATGAGAAAATATCTTGAGAAGAAAATATTTCTTGAAAAATCTTATACAGTATCAATCAATCATATAATGTCCTACGCTTTTAACAACGTGTTTTTAGATCTTTTCAATGAATTTATTGAAATAAACTAAAGATTGTTTAAATAACATGAACAATCATATCTGTATTCAATTCATTTTATAATCAATAGTTGACATTGCAAACTGAATAGAAACGTTATATTCTACTTTCCAAATATTTATGTCTACCTTTTTCAAAAAATGAAAATCAACGAACAGATTATCCTAATCGAAGACTAACTCGTATGCTTTTTAATAGATTTTCTTATTTTGCCTTGTGTAAAATAGTTAGTAGAGAGTGAATACCATGTAGAGGTGATGTATCATTCCAACGAGACATGTGTTTCACTTTGAGAATATTAACTTCAGTAATGAAAAACCAATAAATACTTATATTTTGCCATTCAATATTTCACATTTTAAGAAAGATTCAAGTGGAATGATCAGAAGACTCAATTATTCTCGTTTAGAAAATGAAGAAAAATTATTTTCTATCAATTTTTTTTGCACGAGAAACCCTCAATAATATTTATATTATAGTTCCAAGTATATCTATATTTAACCACGATATTGAGAGAAAAACCATACAAAATCTTATGAATTAGTTAAATTAATAACGGAAGTGAATTCTGAATAATCAAAATAAGTATTTTATATGTTCTCTTCATATACATGATGTTTATTGAACGTTTCATGATCAATAGTATGATCAGTGTTATTTCAATCTATTAGTAAACAAAGAAAGTAATAATCAATATCGTATCTTTCGATATTACGTTAATATCTACATAGAAGAGCAAACATCTCAAACTATATAACAGAGCTGAGAGTATCATTTGATTTTGCTTATTTGCTTATTACATATTTCAGAATATATCAAAGTTACTTGCGAATAAATGAATACTACAGGGGTCGCAGCGGTCTAGTATGCAAAATCAGGAATCAGGACAGGAATTCCAAAGAAAAAAAATCAGGATTTTTACTCATAAATCAGGAAATCAGGGTTAGTAAATATTCATCATAAATATTGAACTTTTACGCATCTTTCCGTCAAGGAAAACGCATCTAACTAAAGACTTTTGTTTTCAGTTCTTTTGTCTATCTTTGTTGTTCATTTCTCATACTAAATTATGCAGTAATAGGGAGAATAAAAATGGTCTCTTATCTTTCAAGATTTCGTGCTAAGAAACGCTACTAAAAAGCTTTTCTTATGAAAGCTGATGTTTCTGTGTTACCATCGTTCTCCGTTCTGTAAAGCGGTTATTCACTCCTCGAATGTTAAATATTCAATGCATTTCTAGTTGTGTCATTACGTTACCTATTTCAAGTATGTTCACTTGTTTCATTGTTCATGCACACAGTCGCCTTTTCTGACGCTATGTGATCGATGCTTTGATCATTGCCCGAGTGGCTCATTTGATATTTTGACTATGATTCATTTTGTTACAAGATTTGACAACTATCATAGACATGCAAAAAAGGATGCGACATTCAATAAACAATGACGCCGGCAAGTAGAGCTTGTCGGGTTGGCTCCGGACCAAGTTGGGTCCAGGTCAAACCTTTTCGATTTGAATATTTCTTGACACTATCAAAGTACGAATTCGCCGGGTGAGAGTCCAAAAAAGTGTTATCAATCGGATTCAGGTCCGGTCCAGGTTCAGTAAGACACGTCATTCTTTCTGCATTTGATAATTACTATTTTCACATAATCATATGCCAAACGATACTCATTTCTCACCAAAGTGGCTATAAACGTTGATTCAACATGGAGAACCGTGTTTCCGTTGGCCGAAGGCTGGAAAGGACATATGCACTTTCATGTGTATTGTTCGTCATACTAACGAACTCAATTGTCGTAATGCGGATTGGGGTGACCTGAAGAAACACTTCGAGCGTCCCACAAATAAATTGAATTTTAAAGTTATGCATAATCAATAAATGAGATTTGTGAAATTCTTTTTCATTTATCAGTTAAAAAACATCCACGAGTGGCTTGAAAAGAAGATAGGTGGCCTATAGCGGAGAAAGAAGTAGCGTGTTGATTAGTTTTAGTAATTCATTACAGTCATCGGATACTAGTTTAAAAAATCAGGACCTATCAGGCTGTATTCAAAAATTCAGGAAAGTAGTACTGCTGCGACTCCTGATACTAAGAATTTACTTATATTTGTTTTGTGTAGTATTGCAATTGACAGTAAGTATTCGATCAATTTTCTTGAGTAAGAAATCAAAGATACGAAAAATATCTAATCTGTTTTTTTCTCATCCGAAGTCTATTTTTTGTAAGTTTATTGAAGGATTTCTACTTGAAATTATATTCACTTTTCGTACTCTTAATCAGAGAAAGTAACGAGTTATTGATGAATATCATTTGTTTTTAATAGTTACACAATCCGACTTTATCATTAACCAGCCAGGTTGTGGTCAAAAACTTCATGTATTACCATATCCAAATGCCTATCATAGAATTGTTCTTCATGGAAATCAAACAAATAATCAATTTACAATTATCGAAGATTTAATTTATATAAATGAAGAAGCACGGCTACACTATCATATGAATGAAGATGAGATGTTTTTTTGTTATAAATGGTACTCTGCAATTTGCGGTTGATGGTAAACAATTTTGCCTTGAATTTTGCGCCAGAGCCGGTATTAGTGTTTACATTTCACGTAGTGTAACACAATTCGTTCGAAATATTAATTCTAAACCAGCTTTCTTTCAAATATTATTTGCACCGTCAGGTAGAGAAAAATTCTTAGAAACAGTTTCTATTATTAATGATAATTCACCAATCAATTCTACACAAGCAAATCTACTTGCTTTAAATCATGGACAAGTTAATTTAGGTGAAGTATCAAAATGCTAAGACTTGAACTGTGTATCTGATAATGGTACTCTGATTAAATTATCTTTGTATTCAATACGTTTCATGTTTATTTCAATAGCGTTCTATAGAACAATAAATCTAAATAAAAATTTTAAACGATATTTAATCGTCGATTGACTGACGTTCAGTAACGGAAACTAAAAGCAAATGCAAAGAATCCATGAAAGATTTTTTAGCTAACTGAAATGATTTCTTAATCAACTTATTTTGTTCGTAAATCTATGAGAAGAAATGAAGTAAATTATCATCGATTTAGTTACTAAAACTATTGTGGATCAAATCAGTCTGAGAAACAATTGAATTGTATTTTATCTCAGCAGACGACAGAACAACAACCATTGTATAAAACACAGGAAAAACCTGGAAGTAGCTATTTATTTTTCAATGATCAAAATTGTCTATCTATCAATTTATTACCAAAATTTGCGTTCGAAATATTTATCTTTACTCGCATAACTATTCATTTCAATGCTATCTCCAGTTTTATTTCAAGTAATGTCAATACAATATAATGAAAAACAGAACTGAAACATATTTTTATCTTCGTATGAATTCAGCAGATGTCGTCGAAAGACGATCGAACAAAATTCTAGTCGAACATACGATTGGGTAATAAATAATAGATTGTTAAGAAAGAAAGAATAATTAAGCACATTCGCCCACCCGCTCATCTAAAGAAGAAGCGTTGTTGTCGGTACAGTGTTTCCAATATTCAGTGTTTCAAGAAAAAATAAAGTATTCAAGGTATTCTGAATTGTTTCTTGAAAAATTATTGTTTTGGACATCAATGATTCAAAACAAAGTATCATGATGCTAAAGTACAAATTTGAAACGATTACTTTGCTTGTATGTTACAGTATTATATTGAAAAATATGTTTTCCTTCTCTTATTTTTTCGTTCGAATGCCAGATGGAGCTAGGAAATACTCTTTTCCTTTTATTCTTATCAAATCTCCTCTTAAAATTTTTCTTGTTTTTATTATCCAATATTGTTTTTCCTTACAGTCTTCTCATATCATTTGTAGGCATTTGATATTAGGAATTTTCATTCAGTTAACTTCAAATGCCGAAATTCACAAAGTATCCCCAAGTATTTATGTTTTAATTGGATTTAAGTTTGCTCTAAAATATATTTGAGAGTAAAGACGAATTATTTTATGTTATTCTATTTTCTAGATTAAATATTGTTGTTACAGTATGCCACCAGTTACTTATCCAGCATTAGCTGGATATTATGAATTACAAAAAACAATTGGTAATGGTGGATTTGGCAAAGTGAAACAAGCCATACATCTTCTAACGGGTGAACATGTTGCTATTAAAATAATTGACAAGGCTAAATTAGGCGTAGGTGCTTCATTTTCGTTTATGAATTTTATTTTGAAACTATTTTATTATAGAGTGATGTAGCTCGTATTGCACTTGAAATAAAAGCTATGAAAGATTTACGTCATCAACATATTTGTCAACTTTATCAAGTGATTGAAACCGATGAATACTATTTTCTTGTTCTTGAGGTATGTTTGTTTGTTTGTTTTTCGTAGTAGAATTTGATTATTCTCAATTCTCAATCTAATTGTAGTATTTTTGTAATGGTGAATTATTTGATTACATTGTAAATCGAAATCGTTTATCTGAAGAACAAGCTCGACATTTTTTTCGTCAAATAGTATCAGCTGTAGCTTATATGCACAAGAAAGGTTATTGTCATCGCGATCTAAAACCAGTATGTATTTTATTTTCATGAAGGAAACAAAAATAAATTCATTATTTTAGGAAAATCTTTTACTTGATCGTCGTGAAAATTTAAAACTAATTGATTTTGGTTTGTGTGCTCAACCAAAAGGTGGTATCAACTTGGCATATTTAGGTACAGCCTGTGGTAGCCCGGCTTATGCTGCACCGGTAAATATAGGAAAAAAAGAAAAATCGAAAGTATTCATAGAGCTGAATTTCATTTTTTATAGGAAATCATTGCCGGAACAAATTATCGAGGCGATGTGGTAAGGAATTTTTTTAAAAGTCTCATTTATAATTTAACGTCATTATTGATAAAGATTAATAATATTAACTTACTGAAACTTTATTTTTTCAGTTTCAGTTTCAATAGCAGATAAGGTAACACTTATTGACGTGAATTGTCTCTGTACTAAAGCTTCTGCTTAAATGCTTTTGTAATAATCTTCTTATTCGCTTGATAAATCTATTTAGTCAAATATTCTTCGTAATTTTTATTCTCATTCTTTATTTAGGCAGATGTATGGAGTCTCGGTGTACTTCTATATGCACTTTTATGTGGTAGTCTACCATTTGATGATGAAAATATAGCATCGATGTATGCAAAAATTCAAGTAATAGGAATTTCAAAATATAATCTACAATAAATTTTTATTTGATTTCTACTCTAGAATGGTGTTTATCATATTCCATCATGGTTATCACAAGAAAGTGTTGCTCTATTACGTCTTATGCTTCAGGTTGATCCAACAAAACGTATTCGTATTGATGATCTATTACGACACCGTTGGCTCATTAATAATGTTTATCCTGAGCCAATAAAATGGGAATCCATCTATCATGTATGAATAAAAGTTTGTTTTTTACACATTTGAATTATTTGTTTCTTTATAGAATAAATTGGAGATATCATGTATACGTGAAATGTCTCTTTATTATGGTCGGACAGTCAATGATTTAGCTCAAGAACTTTCATCTGTAAGTTAAATCATTCTATTTTACACAAAAGAAAAACAATGCTTTAATTTAGAAAAAATATGATTACATGACAGCTACTTATTTTATTTTATATGATCTTAAATCACGGAATAAACCAATACGTCTTTTACCTAATCGTGTACAATCGATACATTCCCGAGCATTTGATGGACATCATCATCCGGCAAGTTCGATACCTGCAAATTTACTTCGTGAAAAAAATCAAGATTTAACACCAAGATCACGTACTGCCCATCGACATCCACCACCCGCAGATCTTTTACTTATATCTCAGCAAAACAAAACTCATGTACCTTCGCCTCATGCAAATAGATCAACGACGCCATCTCATAGTGAACAACGGCATCGAAGTCATAAAACACCAAATAAAGAAAATGTTGAAAATTCACATACAAAACGTCATGAACGAACAACACCAACAGTCAAGTAAGGAATAATACATTTAATAATATGAAAAAGAAAAGAAAAGAAATCAACTTCATTTTTCTTGTCTCTTTAGAGCACCTAATTGCCAACGAATTTTAATGTTTGCTGAATCACCTAGTGGGTCTAAGCGAACAGGTGAAAAGAAAGGAGGTAAAATTTCATTTAACACATTCAATGAAAAGACAATTATTTCATCTTCTTTCTTGTACGAAATAGATCATCGACTTAGTGCTTCAAAATCATTCGACGATGGTCTTGATGATAATAATCTTGATGATTCAAAGATTGCATCAGCATTAAAGTAACTTTGCTTTTACTAATATGCTTCTTTATTTTCATCGATGGAATTCTATTTAGAGCGTTTTCAGTTGGAGCTGTTGATAGTGATGATTTAGATGTTTATCTAACACCACAGAGACAGAAGAAAAATGTTCGTTCATTATTTGGTAGTGTTGAACGTGGCCTTAATACAGTCAAACAAATTCTTACACCAAAACGTACTAATGGAAATAAACCAAGAAAAACATGGGTAAGTTTATTTTCATACAGCAGAAGTAGTCAACACTAACGTAGATCCGATAATAGTTAGAAGACATCGATTATTGAAATCTATATTAGAATTTTAAATTTCATTTCATTTATTCAATTTAGGAAACTGCTAATGTTACTCCAATAAATATCGATGATCCCGATCAAGTATGCGATCTACTTGAACAAGCAATAAAAAATAATTCTCAACTTAAATACAAAGAGAAAGGGTATGAAAAATAAACTAAAGCACTATTCTCTATTGAGATTTTTTTTTCTTCATTTAGAAGTCGCTTTGTATATGATGTATTTATCGAAGATGATTGGGGTAAAATTGTATTAGAATTCGATTTAGAAGTCGTTGCTATTCAAGGCAAAGAATTAGGTATTCAACGTAAACGTACTAAAGGTAGTGCATGGCATTACAAACGATGTTGCGAAGATATTATTGGACAACTTACTCGTCTTTTACCTAATTTACAGACATCTGTTTAAAATTATTCTGTTCAGATCAATTTTTTTTTCTTACTGTTTTGCCAGATAAATTCTTATGTGTTTTTTTTGTCTGTATCACTTTATCTAATTGTATTCTATCTAGTCTTTATTTTCCTTTTTTTGTCTGATCTCTCTCGCTCTCTCTCTCTCTATATATATATATATGCAGGCTTTTCCAAACTTCGTATGCGGAAAAGTTGTTCCTTGTATTTTTTTTCTTCCTTTAAAATCCAATCGATTTCTGTTCTATTTCTTTCAACGATATAAACACGATCAACATTTATATATACGAATATATATATATATACTTTTTTTTCTAATTCTTATTTAGATGGCGACAAATTTATGTCGTATTTTGCCAGCATGCAGTCGAGCTGCTTTAAATGGACGTATTCGTATGTCTTTATCAGCGACTTCTTGTTTTCATTCGAAAATGGTAAGTTAATGATCATGAAGATTCACATATCGGAGTGAAAATTCTCTATAATTAAGATTATAAGAATGAATCATCACGAAGTTCCTGTACCACCTGGGGAAACACGTACAGAATCTGACACATTTGGTCCAATCAAAGTATCAACCTCGGCATATTATGGAGCACAAACAGCTCGTTCAATGTATCATTTTAATATTGGTATACCAACTGGTAAAATTGACTTCATACATTATTGAATACTCGATTAAATTAACATACAAATGTTCATATTTAGATCGTATGCCTTTACCACTAATTGAAGCATTTGGTCTATTGAAAAAAGCTTGTGCTACTGTTAATAAACAATTTGGTCTTGATAAGAAAGTGTCTGATGCTATAGCACAAGCATGTGATGAAGTTATTGCTGGTAAACTTAATGATCATTTTCCATTGAGTGTTTGGCAAACAGGATCTGGTACACAATCGAATATGAATGTCAATGAAGTTGTTTCAAATCGTGCTATTCAAATGCTTGGTGGCACAATGGGTAGTAAAAAGCCAGTTCATCCAAATGATCATGTCAATAAAAGTCAAAGTTCGAATGATACATTTCCAACAGGTATTATCATTTTTTTATAGATGAAATTCTTAACGACCTAACTATTCGCCTTTATTTCATTGTTTTTAGCTATGCATGTTGCTGCTGCACTTGAATTAAATCGTCGATTACATCCAGCATTAAAACATCTTCATGCAGCATTAAATAAGAAATCGAAAGATTTCGCATCGACTTATAAAATTGGTCGAACACATTTACAAGATGCTGTACCAATGACACTTGGACAAGAATTTTCCGGTTATACACATCAAGTAGCTATGAGCATTGAACGTTTGAAAACATGCGAACCACGTTTATATGAATTGGCTATTGGTGGGACAGCTGTTGGTACAGGTATTAATACGCCAAAAGGATTTGGTAAATTTGTTGCTGCAGAATTAAAAGAACTGACGAAATTACCATTTGTTGATGCACCGAATAAATTTGAAGCATTAGCAACACATGATACTATGGTCGAATTAAGCGGATCACTCAATACGTTGGCAGTTAGTTTGAGTACGTCGAAAGATGATTTTTTTTCTCCTATTATAAATAGAATATATTATTTCTTTTAGTGAAAATTGCTAATGATATTCGTCTATTAGGTTCAGGACCACGTTGTGGTATTGGTAAGTGTGTCTTTACGTATGTTTCAAATATAATTTTCTTTCTTTCGTTTCAGGTGAATTAGTACTACCAGAAAATGAACCCGGCAGTTCAATTATGCCCGGTAAAGTAAATCCAACTCAATGTGAAGCTATGACTATGGTTGCTGCACAAGTCATAGGTAATCATGTTGCTGTTACTGTTGGTGGTTCAATGGGACATTTCGAATTAAACGTATTTAAACCGTTGATTATTAAAAATGTTCTCCATTCAATAAGAATTCTTTCTGATGTTTGTCATTCATTTACTGACCATTGTGTCGTTGGTATTGAACCCAATACAGCTGTATTAGACCGTTATATGCGCGAATCGCTTATGTTAGGTAAGAGAAATCAAATGAATTTTTATTTTTAAATATCTATTATTAATTATTATTATTATTATTTAGTTACTGCACTCAATCCACACATTGGCTATGATAAAGCAGCACAAATTGCTAAGAAAGCTCACAAAGAAGGAACAAACTTACGTGAAGCAGCCTTGGCACTTGGCCATTTAACTGCAGAACAATTCGATAAATATGTTAATCCAAAAGATATGGTTTAAAAAACATCCTGAGCAATAACCTTCTCTTTTCTCTATGCCTTTTGCGTGAATAAATACATTTTAGTTTAATGTAGTTTATCAAAATAGTAGCATCAATTTCTTTTCTCTAAATTGTTCTAAACGGTTCTGTATTTTAATTCTATTTATCTATAGCTCAAATTTATTGTCGAATTATTTTGTTCATGAAGTCAAGGCAGAACTCAACACCAATACTATATCTCAACCTTGTGTGTTATATATGTCACTTCAGTTTATCATATTTTAGTAGCAGCCAATGTTTAGATATCATTGTATATTCGTATTATATATATAAACAAAATACCCAATACTATCTATAATCATTTGCCCCCAGTTTATTGAGTTGTATTTATATTTGAGGAATATTTAATTTGTTTCAAAGTAAACTATGTTGATGAACAACAATATCAGTTCGAATTCATTCGTATTTCATGATTAGTATATTTATTCTATTACAGTATAAAACTTGATCGTTGATAAGAAAAGTAAAATGATCTACATGAGACAAAAATGTTAAACTCTAAAAATGACTGAATGCAAATTCAGAGAAAGAATCGTCATTATTCGGTCTTACTAGAAAATATTGGCGAAAATAAGCTCAACATTGAAAGAAATTTAAAGATGCAGATGATATTGTATGATCCAAAAAAAAAGTCTGTTGGACAATGTGTTAACGGTAAGAACAAAAATAATAGTAGTAGTTTTTACTGACATCTTTTTAATCTTTTGACATTTCTTTTTGCAATCTTTTATTTACTTGCGATATTTTTCAATGTTTTCTGTTTACTCTATGTATATGTTTAGTCGATTCATATTTAATTGAGCATATGGATGTTATCCACTCAGAAAATTATTGATTGCATTCATTTGAACATATGGATTGTACGGTAGATTACAGAATGAGCACTCTGCGTATCATAAATATAATCATTATTGAATTATATAATCACTATGCAATGGTTTAACTTTTACATGTTCATCAACAAATCTAATAGATAATGACAATAAGAAATAGGACTATTAGTGAAATACTATCTGTCGTATTTATAAGCCATTGTGCTCAGTATAAAAAAATCGACTTTATACTGAATGACGCAAATATGAAGTTTATCATAGTAGACACATTACAAAGTCAATATTTTTCATGTGAAACGTGCTCCTTTTTTCCGTTAAGAAGTTTTCATCAAAAATTTCAAACAAACTAAAATCTATTGAATATTTTTAACGTTTCGAAAGATTCATCGAGCTTTTTTTTGTTCTCTGATTGAGTTGTTTCTTGCTCTTGCTATCTTTGATCAAACAGTGCACACAAAATAATAATATGAAGTTTTATGTTATAACATTCTATGACCTGTAAATTGATATGAAATAAAGATATGAAATTTTTATCAATATTGAGTAGTTGTCATTGTTATCTTATATGAAATAGCCTAATAAAAACTATGTTATTTCAAACTTTGTTGTACCAGATTCTATACAATGAAAAAGAAAGATATGAAGAAACACATTGTAGTTATAAGTTTTATCTGTTGGACCTTTTCGAAAAATCTTTGCAATCATTAATATTTAATGTGTTTCTTTTTTGCCATTCTTTATTTTTATTCTCATACATTAAAGATAGAAAAGTAATAACTTTTGAATTGCCACATACAGCGTGAATCTTGATTGATACAATATGTTAACGCAAGAACAAATTCAACACGTATGCCATCATTATTAATGCATCGTTCGTTTGTATTATTTCCTATTAACATTCTAGTTTTCAAAGAATGGTTATCTTGTTGTCGAGCAGTTAATAACTCGTGATGATTGTGAAAAATTAAAAGAATCAGTTAAACAACTTATTGATAAATGGGATCCTGAAAATGATAGTTCATGTGTATTTTCTACTACTGGCAATCGAGAACAATCAACAAGTCGATATTTTCTTGATAGTGCCGATAAGATTTCATTTTTCATGGAAGCAGGTGCTATTGATCCTAACACAAGTACGGTATCTGAAAGGAAATAACGATGCAGTTTTTTAAAATCTGTTGGTGTAATTACATTTTTTTTTCTCAATAGAAAAAATGAATCGAGACAAACATCATAGTTTTAATAAAATTGGCCACGCACTCCATACACTTGAACCTCAATTCAAAAAAGTTTCATTTTCTGATAAAGTCAAGGTAAAAGCTACTTTTATAAAAAAAAAGAAAGAAATTCAATCAATCAAATCACTGAATTTCTGTATAGTCGATCGTACGTGATTTAAATTATGTTAACCCAGCTATATGTCAATCAATGCATATTTTTAAGCAAGCTGAAATAGGAGCAAAAGGTTAACAATGTTATATTTTTATCTTTATCTTCATAATTAATTTTCCAGTCGTTCCACATCAGGATGGTTCATATCTGTTCAATGAACCACTTAAAATTATGGGTATTTGGATTGCACTCGAAGATGCTACTATCGAAAATGGTTGTCTTTGGTTTATACCTGGTTCACAGACACGTAAATTTTAATATTTATACTAATTATTTCATGTTAGTATGATTTTATTTCTTTTTATAGAACCAATCAAACGACGTTATATTCGGAACCCCAACCAAGAAGAATTTGATGCAGGAAAAATGTTAGTATACGTCGGCGAAACTGAACAATATGATGATAAAGATTTTGTTCCAGTTGAAGTCAAAGCAGGTAAAAGTGTCTTTGTAAGATTTGAATAACAAGATGAACTCCTTTAGGCGATGCTATTATAATTCATGGTCAAGCCGTACATAAAAGTGAACAAAGTATGTTAATACTAAATTAAGCGAACAGTTTTTGAATAATATGAAAAAGAAAAATATCCGCTAGTGAAAAATTTTCATGTCATGTTTATTAGTACACAAGTTGCAATCGAATTTTTAATTTTCCAAACTTTTTCCATTTAGATACATCACCACTCTCGAGGCAAATTTATACGTTTCATATTATCGAAATGGATAATTCAGTATACAGTAAAGAAAATTGGTAAATATCTTTCTTTTAATAGTATTTTTCAACATCTGGACACTGTGCATCTCTTTTTTTCTAGGCTTCAAACAAAGGAACCATTTCCGCTAATTTATGACGCGTAGAAAATCATTTTTATTACGTTAAGCGTACATTTATACATCTATTTAAAAAAAAAATTCTTTTCTTCTCAGACTATTATCTTTGCAAACTAAAGGTCGACATTTGATCGAGATAGACTATATTAGAAATAAAATCTAGCGCAAATCGATATCACATAGAAATAAGCTTTATTAGTATTTGTTTTTATTGATCTTCGTGTTGTTCTTCATGTTCCTCGTGTTGTGGATAAAATTGAGCACGTCTTGGAGCTACTGAACCATTGCCACTTCTCATTGCTGATATTGGCTGTAACTGTTCTATATGTGGGAGAAATGGAAGTGTATCAGAACGTGTTCGAGCTTCACGTTCTGTATTTGAAGTATTATGAGATATGCGTCGTTTGATTTCTGGTGGTTGCTGATTATTTGATGAATATTCGGTTGGTGCAATGGAAGAATGTTCAATAAAGGGATTCGTTTTCATTGCGACTTCATTATTTGGTGTTTTAGGTTCTTCTAATTGTGGTGGTGGTGGACGCGGAGGACCGTCTCTTGGAATAACTAGATATTTATAAAGAGTAGTGTGTGCTTTTGGTTGTTGTATTTCAACTTCATTTCCAGCAAATCGTTTTTCACAGCACTTTTCATACAGATCATGAATGATTTTAGTCGAAACAAATTCACTAAAAGCAAACGAACAAATGATTGATCGATCTTTTAAACAAATCAAATTACCTAGCATTTGAACCAATTATACGTAAAATAAAATGTCCATCTGCTTCTAAATATTCTTCATTGAAAAATTGAAATAAAGTCCGACCTTTGCCTTCATAGTAAACTTTAGGGACAAAAAACATTCGTGATTCATGATGAATCTTCTTTCCATTACACAATACATATACTTCATCCCCCGTTGTAGAAGCCGTTTCATCGCGACTTATTACTAGAATAAATATTGATGAATTGACATTTATATATCTAAATATAAGTGTATATTATTTTTTACCTCTCATGACATGCTCATTATCTTTTTTATTAACATGCTTGCCACATGGATTATTGAATGGCCATGCTTGTGAAATTTTATAATCCATTACTTTTAAACGTTCCTCAAGGTATGTTTCACGTCGAAAAAATAATCGATAAATCCATATAAAAAGATCATAGATAGTTAAAATAATGACAAAAACAAACCAAAACCAAAGAAATGTAAATATTTGCTAAAATATTACATAAATACCAAGGATTTTATATTAAACATATTCAAACATAAAATTTACCTGATTAAATAGATTTATTGGTAAAACACACATTACAGTATACGTGTGAGCTATCGGTAAAGCATTGGCTTCCCGAATTTGAAAATCACTAAATATATATAGAGAAAAAACGGATTTGTTTTTCTATGAAAATGAAAACAAAAGTCTAATTTTCTTTTATACCATAATGTTACTTTAGGAAAATATCGACTTGTAAAGTCCCATCCTTTTCCTTCGTATAAAAGTCGAATTACAGTAATACCTAATGACCAAAATGGTTGACCCAATAGCAAAGATAAAATCACTATCTGAGCAATAATATTAGTCACATAAATCATTTTAATAAATAAAAATAAATTTCTTAAATAATCGCCCATATAGCGACCAGATGATGGAAAAAAGACAAGAAAAATTTTTTTCCACCAAATAGTTTCACGATTATTTGATTGTCGACGTGGATCATCAACGTATTGGTCAATAACTGAAATAATAAATTTCATTAAACGTTCACGTTGTTTTTCATCGCTTGCTTTTTTATAATTTGTTGCAGCTTCAACAATATCGCGTATATCAATACCTTAATGAAATCAATTAACTGTAAAAAAAACACTTCACTATTTTAAAGAAAAACATTTTACCAGATCGCTGACATAGGACTCTCCATAAAACATAAGGTATAAAAAACATAAAGGCTTGAAAAAGAAGTATAAACGGTATCCATTGATAATAACGTATCGATGATTCATGACGAATATTAGTACTGTCTGGTATTTCGCTATTATCATCAATATAATACGTATTACGTACCCAACACACCTATTGAAGTACAAAAAACAAAAAAGTCAATCGAATAAATTTTCAATATCAAATTTCATGTACATTATTAGTATAATCTTCATAATTTCCTGTAAAAAAAGCAGGAACCTTAAAGGAGAATAAAAAACAATAAACGTTTGATAATATTGATATTATATATCGAAACATACCCAACATTGAATACGTTTTGAAGTAAATTCACGATTTGAAACAATAACAGTAAAAGCAATAAGTATAGCACACGTATATCGATAACTGAGACGGTCACCTACAGAATCATCACTACGGGATGTACCAAGAAATAAAACTGAAAATTCATTAGCAGCTTTTAAGATTAAAGCCGACATGGTGATAGTCTATCAATATAATGAAATAAAATGTTTCGGCCGATTGTTTATCGTAGACGTTTTTAAATCCTCGTATCTAAAATAATGGAAAAAATGTAAATTGATACTGAACAAATGTTCGATCATCGTTTATCCATTTAATAGAGAAAAAAAGGAACTAAATTGATCTGGTACTGATTTCGATGCCTTTCATTTATTCTTTTTCTCGCTCGTTGAATAAGTATATGCCAGGCAGAAGCTGGCATTTGCATATTTGTCTGGAACTCACGTACGTGTAATTGCCATAACTATATACCTATAATAACAGTAGAAACAGTAACCGTATACTAAACTTGGTTTTTTTCTGATAAAAATCTCGATATAGTAATTTCAAAGCTAATTATACACTCGATGACTTCATTATTTTTTTCAAAAATTCGTATCTAATGAATATACTTACCAAATAGATACAAGAGACAGAATATTCGTACTTTATGTTATGAATATATATATATATACATACATACACGGGTGCAAGCATATATGCTAACGACAAATAACATCTAGGTCGACGAAAGCGATAGTTAATATTGACATTCAAATATACCTGCGAACAGAAGAAAGAAAAGAAAGTAATAATTATTGTTATTTGTATAGAAGATAGATTAATATCAGCCAAGTAGCTTTTTATTTGTATGTTATATTCTTTGTGAACATCGTATCAATATTACGACTATGATTGCGGTTTTTCCTTCAATGTCAAACATAACTTTTTCTTTCTTTTCTTTCTTTTATTCTCTGACAATAGTTATGAGTACACGCTGCTGCTGCTACTACTACTACTACTACTACCACTACTCATAGGGCAATCTCTTTCTTTTTCTGATAGGAAATTTGCAACTGCATGCATGTGACGCTATCGTTGATCCTTCTTTCAGTAATATAACATCCCAGTAAAGAGAAAGACATATGTTGAGAAGTAACAAAGAAAAAAGAAAAAAGAAAACTCTTGCCCTCGTCTCTCTCTCTCTCTCTGTTTTTTTTGCCCTAGCACAGTACCAAAAAAAATACGAGAGAAGAAAGAATTGTGAACGATAGAATGAAAGAGTTACGCATCCAAATTACGATTGCAGAAATAGGACAACTATATGCAAGCATCTTTTTTATTCAAGAGATGCTCCGCTTTTTCTCTCTACGTAGAACGAAGGCATAGATTATTACTACCAAATCAAGGTTAAACCGAATCATGAATGAATTTATTGAAGTGTTCTACATGGGATGTACGGAAATATATAACAGATGTTCGTACTAGTCAGCCATTGAAACGTGACATCCTGCCAATGTCTCACACGTTTGAAGATAGACACACAATTAGTTAGTATATAATTACGTCGACCGGACGATATCATGGTATTACACGTATACAGAAGAGTCTCTTTTCTTTTTTGAACTTTTCTCATTAGCATTTATAGGGTTTGTTGTAAAAAACACCTAAAGTAATATCAACACATTGATCATCAAGCTTTCGTATAAAATTATGTTTGCAATGAAAATTTGAATCCAATAAAAGAAGCCAAAGTATATTCTCATCATTATAAGAATGTCTATTTATTGTTCGAATAATTTTTCTTTCAACAAATGGGTCAATATTCATTAATCTTACTATCAAATTGCATTGTGTGTCAAAATGCCTATCGTTATTTTCATTGTAGTCGAAGAAAATTGCTACTGTTTATGTGTTGTATAATAAGAATAGAACAGATTATGTGAAATGTGTTTTCAATCAACCAAACTAATATGAATCATATGAAAAAAAAAATAAAGATTACTATTCTGTTTGTACACTTATGTAATGATTTATTGAGAAAATATCAATCACATATTATTTTACATAAAGTTATTTTTTATAGTTTCATCTCATACTTCTTTTGAAATTCGCCATTCGATAGAAAAGACTGAATATGTACATGATGATGATGATGAAGAACATTAATGACCCTAGATGTAATGATCATAAAATATACGAAACGAATCTCAATGATATTGTGCGACATCTACTATTTCTAAAATTTATTTGTTTTTATAGTTGAAACCAATAGGGTCATTCGTTGTTAGAGAAACAGTGAAACTTTTATTTTCTTTCTTCTGCTTTTAGTTGTGTGTGTGTACTTGCTGAAATATCAAAAAAAAGATCTTTTTTTCCGATTAGACTTAATCATTTTAATAGAAATAATGATGGATGTTTCAACTGGTGTTGCTCCACCTTCGTCTGCATCATCAACGTTAAATACAACATTTAACGGTCAAAATACCATTTATGTAAACAATCTGAATGAACGTAAATAATTTAGGATAATCATTTTTTCTTAACGTTAGCAATATTTTTCTTCTATTTTTTTAAGGTGTGAAAATTCCTGAATTGAAAAAATGTCTCTATGCTATCTTCTCTAAATTTGGTAAAATTCTTGATATAGTTGCATTAAAAAATTTACGTATGCGTGGTCAAGCATTCATTATATTTGATAAATCGGATAGTGCCGCGCAAGCATTAACATCTATGCAATCGTTTCCATTATATGATAAACCATTACGTATACAATTTGCTAAAACCGATAGTGATATTGTATCTAAACGTAAAGATACATTTGTTGCACGACCAAAACGTCGTAACGACTCAGATTCACCATCGATATCAAAAAAAGAAAAACGTCGTCAACAATTAGCTGCAAAACAAGAACAACAACGTTTAATGAAAGCACAAATAGCTGCGCAATTTCCTGGTTTACCTCCTGGCATGCCACCAATGATGACTGGTATGCCGCCAATGATGATTCCACCACCACCAATGATGAATCGACCAGTTTTACATCCGCCTATATTGGGTGGTGAAATGCCAAATAATATTCTATTCGTATCCAATATTCAAGATGCTAATGAAAGCATGCTAACAACATTGTTTAAAGCCTATAATGGTTTTCGAGAAGTTCGTCTTATTCCTGGCCGAGAAGGTATTGCCTTCGTCGAATTCGATCTTGAACATCATGCAGCTATGGCTAAAGATGGTCTACAAGGTTTTAAAATTACGCCAGATAAAGCTATGACAATTACATTTGCTAAAAAATAGTTTACTTTGTTGTTTTGTTTTGTGTTTGATTATTGTTTAAAACAACGGAAAAAGAAAAACTAACTATAAAAAATGTACAACTCTGGTCATGCTCTCTTTCTTTCTTCTAGATGTCGACTACTACAGATAATGCTGCAACAGGGACACCAGTTGCAAAGTCTATTCCACCAAATCACACGCTCTATGTTAACAATTTAAATGGAAAAGTTAAAAAGCAACAATTAAAAAAATCACTTTATAATTTATTTATTTCCTACGGTCGTGTTATTGGCATTATTGCTATAAAAGGTGTTAAAATGCGTGGACAAGCATTTATTGTTTTTGATGATATTCAAAATTCCACATCTGCATTACGTTCATTACAAGGTATAATGTTTTATGGTAAACCAATGCGTTTATCGTATGCAAATCGGGATTCGGATGCAATACGTTTTTCAAAACAACAAATTGATGAAAAGACAGCTGCATTAGCTGCGACTAGTCAGCCAGAGCCTAAACAACGTAAAGAGAAACCTCGTATACCACCACCTCCATTACAACCACCACCGGATCGTACACTACACGAACAGCATATTGGTAAGAATTAAATTTCATTAGGTTGTGTCATAGGATTCTACTTTTCGTTTCTTTTTCTATAGCCTTAATGAATTCCGAGGAAGTTAATCGTGCTGCTAATGCTGTTGCAGCAGCTGAAGCTGAATTACAAGAATTACCATTACGTGATCGTACACGAAGAATTCAATCGGTTATAGCTGCACAAACAACATTAGTTGGTAGTGCTGTCCCAATGATGACAGAAGTACAACCAAATTCTACACTTTTTGTTACGAATTTACCGAATGAAACTACACGTGAAGCATTAGAAAAGTTATTTCATCAATTTCCTGGTTATAGTGATGTTCGCCTTGTGCCTGGACGTGAAGGTATTGCTTTTATTGATTTTGATAATGATTCAGGTGCAGCTTCAGCTAAGGGTAAGTGATTCTTTATTAATATTTGTTATTTATTTTTTAAATTTCTTGTAGATGGTCTCAATGGTTTCCAAATTTCAGCAACCAACGCAATATTCGTCAGCTTTGCAAACAAATAACGAATGAGATTTTCATTGTTGTGTTGTTGTTGTTGTTGTTGTTGGTTTTTTTTTATATATGAAGCTTTGATAAAACCGAAATGTTTCTTGTTGTTGTGCTATTTTTTAAAAATAAAAAAACTTGAGGTCGTTTTGAAAGAGCGTCCAAAACTGATATTGAACTAATGCATACACGATTATATATTTATATTGAGATATTCTAGTCCAGGATTTCGATGATAAGAGATCTTATTTGTATTTCAGATTATTTTCTTACGTCATCTCACTTTCAATGCATACGTTGGAAAGTCAAAACAATCGACAGTCAGAAGAATTAGCTGCTAAAGTCTCTCGACTAAAACATGTTTGTACTGTTTACGAATTTTAAATATTTCTTTTAAAACAAAATCTTCTACTTATTTATTCGAAGATTGCATTTGATATTGAAAAAGAAACAAACGAACAGAATCGGTTTCTTAACTCAATGGTAAATCAAGATAGAATCATATCGAATAACAAGAAACATTACTTCTTCTATTGTTTATTTTAGCATCTAGATTTTGCTACTGCACGTAATTTTCTTGGTGGCAGTGCCCGTCATTTCACTCATGTTATGTCGAGTGGACGAGGTGATCGTCGAGTTATGTGTTATCTTATTGGTGCAATTATTTTAGCTTTTTTCTTTCTTTATTACACTGTCAGTTCATTTCGAAATAAGTAATATAATATCTGTACTTGTACATAAATATATATATTCTTCTTTCTTTTTTTGTGAAATCAATTGTTTTATTAACAAAAATTCGTTTTTTCAAAACACATTCTCTTACTTAATGCTTTGTTACTTACCTATATAAAGAAATACATATTTATATAGAAATCTACTATTTACAGTTTTAAGATATGAATCTTTTACGTCGTCCTCTCCGTCCTCGTCTTCGGCCACTATTACTCAGCGAAGTAACATTAGATGGGAGAAGTGAACCTTTATCACCACTTTCATCAGTATCAAGTTCAACAAGCGATTCAGATCCATCATCGCGACCATCAAGTCATACACGATCGCAACGTTTTCTGCCACCATTAACTGAAGAAACTAGTCATCATGTTAGCCTAGTGACACCATTTCAAAGTGAACAACCGACACTTGTTGATCAGTTAACTATATTGATGAATGATGATGAACAAAAAGATGATGGTGATATTGATGATAGTGATAGTCAAGTAGAGAAGAAGCGAATTTCACGAGTGAAACAATCCAAAAAATCATTGGTACCACTTAAAGCACGTGAATATTCCCAATTTAGTGAATTGCATCATGCTATAAGAACAGCGAAACCACGAACACTTAATCGAACACCAAAATTTAAAGGGCCACCTGGTTTACCACTCAGGCAAACACGTTCATTTCATGATATTAAATCGCATTATTCGCAAATTACAGATGATGAAGCCTATAATATTGTTAATCAATTTACTTTCAATGATTTTATTCTTCAAGCTTCAATAGCAAAATCGCATCCTTGTGAAGAATGTACATTGGAAAAAGCTATTTTATCAAAATATACTTATAAACAAATATGTGAAATGATTGCTGAACGTGTTTGGGCAGAACGTGGAGAAAGTGGAAAAGTAAGGAAAAAAAGAAAAACAAACTTTTCATCTACAAATAATATATTTTCTTATTTAGATTCATGTACAAACACTTGTACCTAATATAGAACCATTTCAAAATCGAGTACCTATGCATCAAATTGTAACTGAAATGGCACTTGTTCTTAGACAACATATGTCGAATATACTTGGTAATTTTATTTTATTAGAACTTTTGTTTCTTTACATTTTTTTCTTGTGACATCCAGGTTCTCAACTTAGAATGAATATAAGAGCATTACCAAGCTGGCGTCAAAAAGAAGGTGCTCATACAGAAATTCTTCTTTATGAATCTGAAGGCGGCGCAGGGGGTACGAAAAATGATACAAAAATCTTAACAAAAGAAAACAGTAGTAAGATACAAAATAAATTCAATTCGATAATGTTCAGTTTTTCGTTATTATTTAGATTCAACGAATCTCAAGCGTGATACAGGCGCTGAAATTGCTGTTCTTGATAGTTTATTAAAAACTGGAACTAATTTAGATTTACGTGCTTTTGCACTTGATCATATACCGGATATTTCACTGATGTTTACAACTTTAGTTGCAGTCGATTTGTCCTACAATTGTTTACGTGTAAGATTTTACTGATAAATTTTTTTAAAATTCAAAGTTCAATGAAACGAAAATTCAATAAATTTGGTGTTTTTTCTTATTTTTCAAAGGCGGTACCAAAAGAATTATTCGAATGTACAAAATTAGAACATCTGTATCTACGTCATAATCCAATCTCATTAGTATCATCGGGATTGAATAGTCTCAAAACACTTGTCTTTCTTGATATGGCATTTTGTGAATTACATGATTCTCTACCGGATAGGTAAAATATTTATTGCTGACATAAAAATCATTAAAAAGTAAATCTTTCTTTTTTTCTTCTTCCGTTTATTTCAATAGTTTATTTGGTTTAACTAATCTTCGCCATCTGGATGTATCATACAATCGTTTAACGAACATTTCAAGTGGTATATCAAATTTAAAGTATGTATCGAATTATTCAACAGTGACTATGTCTGTTCTCTTTGCAGAAGATACTTGATCCGATTTTCTATGAAAGATTGATGACAAGTGTTTCCATCGAGGTTAAAAAGAGAAATTGATGTCGATTTCTAATATGGTTATACTTTCTCGTCTGCCTATTTTTATTTAATTTCCCTAAACGTATTCAATATTCTATGAAAAAACAAATTAACCGAACAGAAGGTTTTGATATCGCATGATCTGAGACGAGACATAAAATTTAACAGTTGAAAATAAAATGTTCAATTTCAAATCAACAAAAAGTATAACTAATTTTTATCTATTTTTAGAAATCTTCGACAATTTGTTTGTGATGGAAATGAAATAACTTGTTTTCCATCCAGTATAATTTGTATGGAAAATCTTCGATTAATTACAGCAAAAAATACATGGCTTATACCACAATTAGCTCAAAGCGAATGTTCAAAGAAACCTCCAGTAATCAGATATTTCTCTCTCTCTCTCTCGCTATATATATATAAGAAGAAAAATTTTCTATTTTTATTTACTTTTGTAGAAATTGCTTGAATTACTTGCTCTTCGCTTAAGTAAATATCCTTGGAAACGTTTATTACATAAAATGCCTGACTCATCAAAAACATTATTATTCGGGTGTGTGACATAGTTATACAGACAATTCGAAAATGTTTTACATGCTTTTTTCTTTCTTTTCAGAGCTCACTTATGTGATTCTTGTTCGGGTTTACGAGTTGCACAAGGCTATCGTGCAATTGTAACGTGTCAAAATTTATTTGGTATTAAACTATTACCGATACTCTTCATCAGCTGTACACCAGAATGTTTACAAAAATTACTTTCCAATGAAAATGATACTACTAATATTCCGTCCAAAAATGCTTTTACTGTTCATGATCAATTTATTGCTAAACTGAAAAAGCGTCACATGTGATGATAATCTTTTTTTTTACGTATTTTTTAAGCCTTTTTCTTTTCACCAATAATAACAGTAAATTATATTTATAAATAATCTCACCAATTTTGGTTTTTTAGATAAATCAAATGAAGTTAATTACACACAATATGCTTACATCGAATATTCTCAAAGGAGTAACAAAAGGTTTTCCATTGAAAATAAAAGCTGACAAAGTCGACAATGTTTCTGTTGATTATAATCGTGATTTTATAACTCGTATTATACCACGTATTGAATATGATGCATTACGAGCAGCTGTTAATGATGTAAATTTTCATTATTACAAAAACAAAAATGTTTGCTAAATTGTTATTTACTTTTTTTGCAGCTTGGTTTGAATGAATCATTGCCCGAAACAATGCCCGAAGCCGTACAACAAGATGATGAATTTCTTAAAACAATGCATAAGGTTTTGCTTGAATATGAAGTTGAAGAAGGTGAACTTATTTGTCCGGAAACTGGTAGGAAATTTCCGATTTCAAAAGGAATTCCGAATATGTTGTTACAAGAAACTGAAGTATCTTAAAGAGTTACTTTTGTCGTGATTATAATTATATTTGTTCTTGTTGCTTTTTGTTGGTCAAATAAAAATAAGAGACGTCTAAAATGTTTTTCTTTTATTCGTTGCAAATAACGAGACTTCACAAAAAAAAACAGAAAATACAATAAATCTATTGAGTATGAGAATGATTTATTCTTTAGTTTTAATTAAATACTAAGTATTGACAAAAGCAAAAAAAAACAAATTTTTTGTCTCGAAAGTTTTTATTTATTATAGATTAAATTCTCATGGGTATGGGTAAAAAATCACACAAAAATGAGTCAGATACACATTGCTCACAAAGATCTCAATTGAAGAATACTGATAAAATCAATCAATTGCATTCATTTGAAATGATACCTGATTATCTTCAATCAAATCCATATATTCGAACAGGTTATCGATATGGTTTAACTCTCAAAGGTTGTTTAATTAGGTAATTATGATAGAAAAATTCTCAAATGTTGATTAAACAATATTTAATAACTAATTAAATGGTTTTTTTCCTTTTTTTTTCATTACATCTAGTTTATTTTATTTAAATAATGAATGGGTGAACGTTTGGTCACATATGATTGGTGCTGGTATTTTCATATATTTTTTTGTTCGTGATATATATTTGGGCAAAGCTTTACCATTTATGACAACATCAACTGATTATTATATTGTATTATTCTATACAATTTCTGTGATTGTAAGTCTATTTATATTTCTTATTTTCTAGTTCTATAACAGGAGCTAAAAGAACTATAAAATAATTGTATGTTTTCAACCTGAACTAATAGATATGCATGATATGTTCGGTTGCTTTTCACCTATTTGGTTGTATGTCATCGCGAGCATTCGCTGATTTTCTTAAATTAGATTTATGTGGTATTGGATTTGGTATTCTTGGCTGCTACTTGTGTGGTCTTCATTTGTCATTTGAATGCTATCGTCATTGGAGATTAAGATATGAAACAGTAATTATTGGTATTATGTTTATTGCTGTCATTTATTACGTACATGGAGTGAAAAGATATATCACAAGAAATGTTCACGTGTCTTTATTTGTTAGTATCTCATTGCTTGGCTTATTACCAGCCTTACACTGGTATTTTCTTCATGGTGGTTGGTCAAATCAGCATGTCAAACATTTTTTTCCGAAAATATTTATACTTTATGGGTTATTAGCAATTGGTGCTGTGGCTTATTTAACAAAATTTCCTGAAAGACTTTTTCCCGGTAAACTTTTATTTTCGCTATATCAATACTATTTAAATATTATTTAATCTATAATGTGATTTAAATTTAGGTTATTTTGATATTTTATTTGCTAGTCATCAAATTTGGCATTTCGCATCATTAGCTGCATTTATTTCCTGGTATCAAAATGCTATTGAACTATTACAGTATCATTTTATTACTCCGTGTGATATTCAATTAGAATGAAATAGAAGATTTGAAATTTTTAGTGTTGACTTTGAATTATTTAGTAAATCGTATGCTTTTGTAATTGACACTCAAACATTTTCTTTTCCGCTTTTAGTTAGTAATTATGAAATGAGATGATCTGTTTTGGTTTTCTATAAATTTTTATTTGTAAGTTTATTTCTGCGATAAATAAATGATAATTACAATGATAAATTCAAGAAAATTGTTAAATATATAATAAGCATTAATCAATTAGAATTTCGCCTACATGTGAATAGAATAATAGAAATACGTATTATCTCGATTAGTTTGAAAAGTAAAAACGGAATATGCAGGTAGTTCAAAGAGATTTTCATGCAGTTATACATATAATGATTTCAGATGTAAAGCAAAGCAATTTAAAAATTTATTATTTTCGATAAAAGCAAAAGTTCTATTATTCAAACATGATCATCCATGGATATGATTTAACTGTTCATATTTCATTCTGAAAGGTAAGTTATTCAAGCGTGCATATATTTTTTCTACTTACACATTATCGTACTTATAAAATAGAAAAATGTTAAAGCATACCATTTTTTCAGACAAATAAATTAATAAAGTTTAATTTGATATTCTTAAATAAGTTAGAAGTATTTTTTTCATGTCAACATAATATGAATGCAAGTAATTTCATTTAGATCACTAAATCTGATAATTAATTCTGACGTTGATTACTGAAGTGGAAAACAATGATATCTATATGTCGTAGGATAGATGGAAATCCAGTTCAGTTTTAAATCGAACTGGGACAAATAGAAATTTTTATTTGTTTTAGTTCAGATCAAAATTTTGAAGTCAACTAGCTGAGAAAAATCAATTGATTGTTTACTTTTAATAGATCAACGTGGCCTCTATCTATGATGAGAGTTTTAGAGAAATTGATAGTGCCCTTGAAGATATTTAGCAATATAAAGTAAATGATACTTTGTAATGCTTGGTCATGTTGAAGTGTCATTGATGTTGACTAAATGTAGTGTTTTTTATTTGAGATAAAAGCATGTTTTGAAAACAAAAGAGTAAAAATTGCACAATTACAGAGATTATTCTCAGCTTGTTGAGTTGCAAATACATAAAATAAAGCAAATAAAAAATAAGTTTTATTTTTCCTTTTCAAGATACAAAGCAAGTAACGAAAGAGAAAGGATTAATTTTTTTGAAGCCGTCCACATAGATCATGAAAGGTTGCGTTCTTTTTAAACTTTACCAACAGTAACTTCTTCAGATTTAACTATAGAGGTTTGCGGGACTAGAAACAAGTCTCTCTTTAGCCGATAAAAGATTAGGATGCTGTTTAGTGAACTTCATCTTGTAATTGTTGTGCGACTGTGTATTCTTTATAGAAATATTTGCTCTTTCATTCGATGTATTCGTCAAATGGTCATCAACATTCATCATTACTTAATTTACTGGATACAATGATCGACCCTAAATTGGTTTCGATCGATCCTGGTAATCTGGTCGATATCATTCAATTTACTAAATTAATTGATGATGACTTTAAGAATATAAGTATAGACGAAAAAAGCAAAAATTTCGTTTGAGAATGCACATTCAAACAATCATAGAAAATGAAGTTCATCGCACAATATGTAAACATCTTATTGTGACCAGAGAAAATTTTCAGGGCACGTGTTCGTGGCTAAAATTAATTCCAGAGCTGACATTTATTTTTCATCTATCGGTTAGTCTATAATCGATTGCCACATTGGTGAATCGTAGCCAACTAATGCCTGCCAATAGTCAGTTCGATTTGTTCTAATTACATGTGAATCACTTCGTGAAACTTAATCAAGAATTATTTATCGATGCCATCAGCTCTACTCTGAACTCGTCTTGATACTGTATAGTCTTGATCTATCTAAAATTAAAATAATATCGAATAAAACAGATTATCAGCTATTTGCATGTAAGTTGTTTGCTTTCTTTCATCTACATTTTTCATTTATCTTTTTCGCGCTTTTCATCAAATTTATCATATGTTTTCGATCGGCCTGCATCCGAAAAAGAAATTGTTTCGCTGCTAAAACAAGCAAGAAGTTTCAATATTGCTGTTTTGCTTTTTTGTATGCAAACGTATCAAGGACATAAAGAAAAGCAGAAAATGAGTTACTTTTACACTTATTCTTTTTTTTGTTTTGAACTTGCTGATAACAATTTTACAGGTTTGTATTGTTTTTCGAACGTACTCTGATACCGTATTCTGAAGGTGCGTTGATCTTATTGACATTGTGACATTTTTTCATTCCTCCGATGAAATTACAGCAGCCAAATGGACGTGCTGATAAAAGAAATAAAGATATGACAAATATGGCGTTGAGTTGCCGTTGCATTATGTTAGAAGCAAAGAAAATAAAAGAAAAACAGCTCTTAAAAGCTGTAGTTTTTAATCTATTTTTACATTCAATGTTGAATAAAACACAACAGATAAATGAGTCATAGGTGAGAATATCAACAGAATTAACATTTGAACAGCGTGTTGTTGTCAGTCACTAACTGAATTTAGCTCATGAGCTTTAACTCGAATATTTTTTTCTTACTTCTGAAGAAAACAACACGAATAATTGATTGGTTTAAATTCAGATCTTTTAAAAATGAGACGAGACACTTACGAAATGAAAAATCCTCAGGTACACCCTGAGCATGAAATGGTGGCACTTAAAACTATTCCGGCATCTAGCAACATCGATGAGACAAATGAGACAAATTCATTTTGGTAGGTTTCAAGTGACCGTAACTGTTTATTCTATTTCGAAATGTTTTCAATTTCAGTTTTCAACTGAGAGAAGTATTTAAAAAAAAAGATCACGATCCGACAGAAAAACAAGGACCTCCGGAAGTTGTCACTTTTGCAAGTCTAGTATGTTAACTTTTTCATTATTGAGAAATGAGCAAACATAGCACATTTACAGTTTCGTTTTGCAAATGCGACCGATTTCTTCTATATGATTATTGGCTCGATTGCTGGTAATAGTTTGGGGTTAAGTTTTTTCTTAGTTAATCATGAGATTTATTCTATTTAGCTTTGGCTCATGGTGCTGCCTTTCCACTCAGTAAGTTGTTTCGTTGAATAACTAACAATAATTACATACATGTCGTTCCAGTGTTGCTTATATTCGGAAATTTAACTGACATATTTACTGATCGAACATTCGATCTATGTAAATTCGATTTAACGGTGTTTGACGGCCGTTGTCTGCCAGGCGTTGAACTGACTACTGAAAATTTTTTTCAAGAAATTTTGTATGAGCTTTTCCTTTTCTATTTGAAATTTTATTTTTGTATGATATTCGTGTAGGAAATGTAACTTGACAGGAACAAACTTTTCAATCCCAAAGGTTAACTTGCTGGGAACTATCAGTCAACAAGCTATATGGCTGACTAGTAAGTTTTGATATTTTGTACTTGAAGAAATAAACTATTTATTAAATTATAAGTGATTAAGAAAGAATTATAAAGTTCACTTGTAATAAATACTTGTAAAATTTTGTATTTTCTACAATACAGAGTTATTTGTTTCTAAGTATGTAAATGAGCAATTATAAATTATAACAGAAAATTGTGAATCTAACTCACATCTTTCAAAACGTAGAATCGTTGATTTTTTTCTCCAGTAATAATAAAACAGCATTTCTTAATGCTAATTGTATTTTCTAAACGATTTAAATTCAATTTTTTAAATTCATTTCCTATCTGATTACAGTTGTTGGATGTGCTACAATCGTAGTTGGATACTTTCAAGTTGCTTTTTGGTCTATTGCATGTGAACGTCAAACACGTCGCCTACGTGAAAACCTTTTAAGATCAATACTTAGTAAAGAAATTGCTTATTTTGATACAAACAAAACAGCTCAGTTAAATACAAGACTCTCAGAAGACGTCAATAAAGTACACGACGGTACAGGTGATAAAGTCGGTTCAGCATTACAATTTTTTGCTTCTTTTATTGCCGGTCTTATACTTGGGTTTGTATTGAACTAGTTTACTATCGCTAGAGTTTGATTTATTTTCTTTTATTTAGATTGATAAAAGGATGGAAATTAACGCTGGTCATACTTTCCGTCAGCCCAGTGCTGTTTTTCAGTGCTGTTCTTTTCACAAAAGTATAAAGACAGTTAATATCAACAATTTATTTCAGTAGAAACTTTTTGTTTCAATAGATAACTGCAACAATGACATCACAAGAATTGAAAGCATATGCAAAGGCTGGCGCTATTGCTGAAGAAGTTTTTGGAAGTATACGAACTGTTTTTTCATTCAATGGAGGAGCTTATGAATCAAAAAGGTATATGGTTCTAATTAATTTGTAAATATTTTCAACGAAGTTTTGTCTCTTGGCAGATATGAAAAACATTTACAATCAGCAAAGATCAGTGGCATTCGTAAAGGTGGATTAAATGGAGGTTTAATGGGTGCTATTTGGTTTTTAGTTTTTTGCACTTACGCTTTGGTATAATAATTGTCTTCTAATATATTAGCATATTTTCTTTTCTTATTAGGGTTTTTGGTATGGAGCTAAACTAGTTCGTGAAGATGGTTATTCAATTGGTGGAATTCTCATCGTAAAAACTACTATTTTCTTGAATTCGTTTATATTTATATTTTTTATACTTTAACAGGTCTTTTTTTCAATCATTACAGCAGTGTTTAGTCTTGGCCAAGCAGCACCTCATCTTCAATCAGTAGCACAAGCTCGAGGAGCAGCTTATACACTGTGGAAAATAATCGATACAGTAAAACAAGCATAGAACTATTTAACATCACATAAAAGTATCTCCTATATTTAGCGATCAAAAATTACTATCAATAATCCGGATGGTGTTCGTAAAAATGATATAGTTGGTGATATAAGATTTTCTAATGTTCATTTTTCTTATCCTTCTCGACCCGATGTTTCCATTCTTAATGGACTTTCATTTATGGCTCAACGTGGCGAGACAACTGCACTTGTTGGCTCTTCCGGTTGTGGAAAAGTAACCATTTTAAATTAACGTCACATTCTCACAGACTTGACCCACCGATTTACTTTAGAGTACGTGCGTACAACTGTTACAAAGATTCTATGATCCAACTGAAGGGTCAGTTGAGTTGGATGGTACAGTTGAAATTGATGATACTCCAGTTAATCGATATAACATTGGTTGGCTTCGAGAACGTATTGGTGTTGTATCACAAGAACCAATTCTATTTCAAACGACAATCAGAGAAAATATTCGTTTCGGAAAAACAAATGCAACTCAAGAAGAAATCGAACAAGCTGCGAAGATGGCTAATGCACATGATTTTATCAAGGACCTACCACAAAAATACGAAACACTTGTTGGCGAACGTGGTGCACAATTGAGTGGAGTATGATTTTTGTTTTCTCTTCAAAGTTTCTTTCTTATGAGTCTACTAGTTCATTTATTTTTCTAGGGTCAAAAGCAACGAATAGGTAAGAATGATTGCTGAATAAAACATGATATATTTTCGGTTTCAAATTGTTATCGATAGCTATTGCCCGTGCACTCATTCGCAATCCACGAATTCTTTTACTTGACGAAGCAACAGTAAGAAGGATTCGACTGGTCATAAAGTCTGATTTTTTGTTTTGTTTCGTTTTTTCCTATAGAGCGCTCTCGATAGAGAAAGTGAACGCATTGTACAAGATGCTCTCGATCGTGCATCACAAGGACGCACAACAATTGTTATTGCACATCGATTATCGACGATTGTAAATGCATCGAAAATTATTGTTCTCAATGCAGGATCAGTTGTTGAAGAAGGTAAATGTACAACGAAGAAGTAGAAGAAAAAGATAACTATTTCGATTATCATAAATGATTTTAGGAAATCATGAAACATTGATGAAGGCGAAAGGAGTTTATTATGGTCTCGTCGAAGCACAAAATATTCATCTGAAAACCAAGGATAAAAATGTGGAAGAAAATGAGAATGATGCAGATGATAAAGCAGCAAGTATGTACAAAATATTTTTTTCTGGAAAGGATAAAAAAAACTTTGAGATAAGATGCAACAGGAAAATAATGAACTCTAATGAGTAGAAGACTAGAGTACAGTCAATCAAGTTGTTTGATTATAAAGAATCACGAAGACGAGATAAGTCTCCTGAGACGCTAGGTTTACTAAAAAGAAACTGCTAATAGATCGAGTAGCTATTGTCATGATAAAAATCATTTATGAAATCTAATAATGGGAAAATTACTTGACTTGTTCACATGTTTCAATTTGATTTCTTCTACTTTGCATTCGTGAATATTATTCAAGAGACTTAATCGAAAAATCACAAGATGTACATAAATTACATTAAATTTTTTTTTCTTTTAGCTGCTCTTGCTTATGATAAGGCAAGATCATTGAGTTATCATCGTCAAGATACAATCGACAAAAAAACTGTAAAGAACGAAACAAATGACAAAACCGACGAAGCTAAGGCAGTTGTAGAGGTTAATTTGTTTTTCATTTATTTTAAATAATTAAACTCAGATATAATTCATTGATTACTACAGTAAAACATGTGAGTAAGTAACAAGAAAAAAACCCTATAGTATGGATTGATGAATAATAATTATAGCTTGTTTACACTAACAAAAATAGGTTTCGTATATTCTCATTTTTAAGGATAACAATAAGTCTTCTTGAACAAACTGAACACTCATTAACTCATGTAATAATATCTAATTATTGTACGGAATAAAATCACCTTCGCACGTATTTTTAATCATTACACCTCACTGACGTTTACGTTTACAAACATACAAGAATATATATTAAATGAAAAATGAATTTCTATTTAGTATAAAGGACCTGCCCCATTTTTCGCCATGCTTGCAATGAATAGACCAGAATTGGATGTGATCCTATTTGCTTGTATTGCTTGCGTTTGTAATGGTGGTTCGTTGATGAATTTTCCCATGATTCTTCGTCTTAGTTTTATATTTCTTTTTCCTTTTAAGGCATCCAACCAGCATTCGGTGTTATTTTAAGTAAAGTTATTGCAGTAAGTGACTTTCTTGTAGCTGCAGTTCTCTTTTTTTTAATCTTCATTCTTTCACGTAGGTGTTTCAAACATGTGATCCACAACTTCAAGAAAAACGAGTTTTGACATACATATTGATCTTTGTTGGCCTTGGTGTTCTAATGCTGTTTACTATGTTCTTACAAGTAAATATCTATTGCTGATTTTCTACTAACAGACTTCGTAGGTGTCACGTTTTTCATGATTCTCTTTTCCTTTTTGCTCATTTTGATCTTTTTTCGAGTAACATCTGAAATATACTGCTTGATAGATAGATTTCAAACTTAGAAAAAACAATTGCAGCTACCTAGTTTATCGAAGAAAATAAGGTGCACAGTTATACTTAATTTCATTTCGTTTAGAGTTTTCTCTTTGCAATTTCTGGTGAATCTTTAACACAACGACTTCGTGCAAAAATCTTTCGAACTCTATTACAACAAGACATTGCTTATTTCGATCAGGCAGAGAATAATACTGGAGCTCTATGTACACGTCTAGCTACTGAAGCTTCCGATGTTCAAGGAGTAAGATTTTTATCTACATTTTGCTTTTGAATCGTATTTTCAACATACTCGATCCTGTAGGCTACAGGTGTTCGTATTGGAACGATGTTACAAAATATATCAAATCTCGGAGTCGGCATCGTTTTAGCATTTATTTATGGATGGTCACTGACTTTAATTATGTTAGCATTTGTACCATTTATGATTCTTGCTGGATTTTTGCAAACATACTTATTGACTGGATTTGCAGATAAAGTTTGTTTGACAGAATCATAAATCAAGATATTGTATCGCTTATGCTTTTAGGATAAGAAAGCTTTAGAAGAAGCTGGAAAGGTTTGTTATAATGATAATGAGACCAAAAAAAATACTCTTTATTTCCATTAAATCGAATAGATTGCAGTCGAAAGTATATCAAATATTCGAACAGTAGCACAATTAACAAAAGAACAATATTTTGCTGATGAATATTGTAAATTACTAGATTTTCCCTATAGGTATGTGTGAAACTATAGGCAAGGTTCACAAAAGCATATTCTCTTTTGTTTGTATTTTAAAGGAACAGTTTAAAACGGGCACATATATTTGGCATTTTATTCAGTATTAGTGATTCCGTAAGATATTATTTCATTTCATAAATTTTCTTAATTCTGATTTGTTTTTCAAAGATCATGTTTTTCGCACAAGCAGCTTTATTTACTTTTGGAGCTTGGCAAGTTGAACGAGGAAATATGAGGTAAAAGATTATTTTTAATTGTTAAATCATATAAAATCTGGTTTTTATTCCCTAGCTTTGAAAATATTATGCTGTAAGTCGTTGAAATATTGTGCTTAGTTATATAATATCTGATTAATTTTTGCCTAGTGTCCTTAACTGTATACTTTTTGGTGCAATGGCTGTAAGTCATTCATAGAAATGAATTTATTAATATTTTATCAGTTTGTTTTAAGGTTGGTCAAACAGCATCATTGGCACCCGATTATTCCAAAGCAATCGTATGTTTGAGTCTACATCATAGAAAATAACTTGTATGAATTATTTAGTCATCATCAAAAAACATTTTGTCTTTATTTCAACGAGTACCAACGATTGATAATTCGTCGACTGTTGGAAATGAATTGGTAAACAAATCATACTCTACTCTTCTTATCCATATATTTCACCGTTTAATAGACTACATTTGATGGACAAATTGATTTAATTGATTTGCAATTTCATTATCCAAATCGACCAGAAGTACAAGTTTTGAACAAATTTAATCTAACAATAGAACCTAGTATTTACTTTTTCTTCCGAAGAAAACAATTCAAATGTTCGGCCATTTTAGATAAACAAACTGCTCTTGTTGGCTCGTCCGGTTGTGGCAAAAGTACCATTATTCAATTACTTGAACACTTTTACGACCCAACAGATGGGCGAATCGTAAGTTGAAAGTTAATACTTTTTTTAATATTAATACAACCTAGTCGTGATCGATATGTGCGCTATTCGGAAAGTTCTTTCAATTTACGTTGTAAAACTTAATTAATTCATTTTAGTTAGTTAATCAAAACGAATTACCATCTTTAAATCTTCAATGGTGGAGAAGTCAAATAGGTTTTGTTAGCCAAGAACCAGTTCTATTCGATGCAACAATTAAAGAAAATATTGCTTATGGCGATACAGCAAGAGAAGTATCAATGGAAGAAATTCAACAAGCAGCGAAAAATGCTAATATTGATGATTTTATTCAAAACCTACCAGAAAGATACGAAACCAATATTGGTTCGAGAGGCACACAGTTATCTGGTGGTCAAAAACAACGCATTGGTTAGTACTAACTACTCGAGAATCTACATAAGAACTAGAATTAATCTGTTTTTTTTTGGCTGATTTAGCTATTGCTCGAGCACTTATTCGAAATCCTAAAGTTTTACTACTTGATGAAGCGACGGTAAGTAATTTTTTTAACAAGTCTTATGTTTACTCGATGGTTTTTATTTTGATCAGAGTGCACTCGATACAGAAAATGAACGAATAGTCCAAGAAGCACTTGATCATGCATCGAAAGGTCGAACAACCGTTGTAATCGCTCATCGGTTATCAACGATACAAAATTCTGACCGTATCTGTGTTGTTCATCGTGGCCGTATTGTTGAATCTGGTAAACATGATGAATTGTTGGCTCGCAAAGGATATTATTATCGACTGGCACAATCGAAACGTTAACTTTGATTTTAATAGAAATAGTGACTTTCTTTCTTTTTGCTTTTATTTTTGCTTGTAAGAGTTATTTTATTAATAAATGGATAATAATAAGAATATTATTAATATTCTCTCAAAAAAAACAATATATTAAAACACACTTAACCGAATACAAGAATAATGTGCTCTCTGAATTTCAAAGACAACGATGAATACATAACAGCAGATTTTATGATTTCGAATAGCATACATTGCCGATAGTTTGATATTAACTTTTACACATAGTAGTATCAAATTTCTTTTAAAGTCTGATGAAACAGAAAAGCAGTTGCAACAGAAAGAGAACACATAATCAGTAGACAAAAAAATAGATAAAAGATATACGGGGCAGGGGGGGGGGGCAGCGAAGGTTAACTCCAATCTACGAATAATTTTTATTTCAATGAGATTCATAGCAGATATAATTCAAAATTGATCAAATTAAATTTTCGATTATAGTATTTTCATTGTTATTATGAAAGTCATTTCTGCTTGAACTTGATTCTAAAAATCTATGATTCATTGCATTTTCCGTAATTCCAGATTAGCTTATTTTTTTGCTTTTCGTTTTACGTCAATATACTTGAAACAAGCTATTTCTTCGGAATTATTGAAAAGTTCGATCTGAAAATCTCTAAATCGTGACGCAAATTTACTTTCAATGTTAAAACTAAGGACGCAAGCATAAACACACAAAATACTTGCACTAGGCTATATTGGTTTATTTTCCTTTAGGCCTTGATAATCGGATAAAAGAAAAAATTCGAAGGAAAACAAAAATATCGACAGTATCCATGACAAAGCACGACAGAAAATAACAGAAAACATAGTAAGCCACGTGTCCATTTTCATGTTTTGTAAGTAATTGATACGAGACTTGCCAATAAATATTAATGACTTCCGTAGAATCTTATCAAAACACGGTATTTGATTTCAACAAGTCCATCAAGAATTTTCAAAAAAAAATGGTGTAATTTAAGAAATGAATAGCTGACTATTCGCTAAGGATTATTTTTTTTCGTTTTTTAATTAAATCAATAGTTCAAGCATTGACCAATAGATTTATGTTATATTATATGTAAGATTAACCTAATTAGTTGACATTCATGTGTCAAATTAAGCCCTCTCTTACTAATTAATAGATTTGATTAGCTGTGCATTTCTTGTTTTTGATAATTATTACCTGTAATATTTAAGTATGTAAGTTGTCCAGATATTATTTGTTGATTCTCGTATGTTTGTATAGTATAAACAAACTTCACTAAGCGACAACAAAACTACGGAAACTAAGAAGAAAACAAACCTGAATTATAGATGAAATATATTTTCCTACATATTTGTATTCAAGTACATATTAAGGTCAAAGAAAAAATTGGCCCATAACAATTGTGATTCTAGAAACGTCCTCGTTCTTTTACATAGAAAAAGAAAGAAAGAAAAACATCTATTATTGGAAAGAGAATTGAATCTGAATGCGTGTAATTCACAGTCACATAAGTTCGATGTTTTTATTACTAAAGACTAAATCATTCATTTTTCCCTGAATTTTCATTGGAATATTTCTGTCGATCTCATCAAATACTTTCTTTTTGTATCTACCCAAGGTTTAATTTTGCTTTCATCATACGGAATTGGCCGAGAAGGAAACAACAACGCTTTCGATACGAATTCGATTGATATTTGTTTAAAAAAAAAGGCCATCAAGACTTGCATTAATCATGCTCGACTGCATTTCTCTGCCTGGATCATTCTTTACTAGATAGGAGAATTAGAAATCCAAATATTGTTGAATTCATTTTTTCTTAAAACAGACATAGTTAATAGATATTAAATATTCTTGATAGCAGTTATTTGATATTTTCAGACCGATTGGATCCAACATACTCTATAATTCTTTTTATTACTATCAAAACCAATAACGCCGAGTTCATTGTCGTTCATTCTGTTTTGATATAGACATGAAAACAATACAGTTTTTCTTGCTAAATAATGCTCTAAAAAACTATCGAAAGAGTACATCCTCAATATTGAATACACGACCGATTCAATTCTGTATTTTAGTTCGACGATATAAATGGGTCGAAAAAAATCTTATAATATTAAATCTCATCATATAGATGATTACGATGATGTTCATATGGCTAGTAAGATGCAAACAAATCTTATCAAGAATGAACCAACTCAAGCATCATCTTCGAAGTATATCTATAAAAAATATTCTTTCGCACAATATTCATATATTTTTTGGTTAATTGATTTTAGTGTTAAAATAACAGAATATTTAGAAAAGGAAGATAAAAAAATCGAAACGGATAAGAAGAATATCGCAGAACTAGTTGGCTTTGCAAGTCTAGTATGTCAAAATATTAATTATTTATACATATTTTTAGATTTCAATCGAAATCAATTATTCTTTTTCTAGTTTCGTTTCGCTAATAAAATTGATATCATTTTGATTTTAATTGGTACACTTGCTGGTAAATATTCTATTCGTATCATTTTATTTTCTTCATCTATCGCTGATACAAATATTTATTTAGCTCTGGCTCATGGTGCTGCGTTTCCACTGAGTAAGTTCTCACGCAAAAAAAAAGTAACGAAAATAAATTTCAAATATATAAAGATAATATCATTGTCATTTCTCTATGTTCAAAAGACGCAGATACTGATTTTAATATATATTTAGTGTTACTTGTCTTCGGCAATTTAGTTGATGTATTTAATAATCGATCGTTTGATCTATGTCAAGCAAACTTTACGCTACTTAATTCTTTTTGTCCAGAGAATGTTCACCTAACAAATCAAAATTTTCGTAACGAATACCAGTAGGTTATTGTTTAATTTTGATTTTAATCTACGTATGTGATGAAACGATTTTGTTTATACGTAGAAAATGTACATTTCCACAAGAGAATTCTACACTATTAAGCGATGATTTTATGTCAAAAGTTGGCAAACAATCGATGTGGCTTGTTAGTAAGTATCGCATTGGTATTCGTTGAAATGTTCCGTTTTTAATTATTTTTTCCCCTCATTTCAGTTATGGGATGTGCAATAATCGTAGTAGGATATTTTCAAGTCGCCCTTTGGTCAATTGCATGCGAACGTCAAACACGTCGCCTTCGTGAAATACTTTTTCGATCAATACTTAGTAAAGAAATGGCCTATTTTGATACAAACAAATCGGGTCAGCTTAGTACAAGATTGGCAGATGATGTCAATAAAGTACATGATGGCATTGGTGATAAAGTCGGTTCAGCATTACAATTTTTTGCTTCTTTTATTGTTGGTCTCATACTTGGGTATATTGCATCACTTTATCAGATACATGAATTTTATATTATGCTTATTATTATTATTATTATTCAGCTTTGTTAAAGGATGGAAATTAACACTAGTTCTACTTTCTGTCAGTCCAATACTGGTTGTTAGTGCAGCTATTTTTACACGAGTATGTAGTGAAAATAAAGTCTTATTAACAGTATCTATTTAATGTTTATGTATTGCTTACAGATCACAGCAACAATGACATCACAAGAATTGAAAGCATATGCGAAAGCCGGTGCGATTGCTGAAGAAGTTTTTAGTAGTATACGAACAGTTTTTTCATTCAATGGAGGAGCTTATGAATCAAAAAGGTAAATGGCTCTAGTTAATTGGTAAATATTTTAAGCAATTTTTGTCTCTCTTGATAGATATGAAAAACATTTACGATCAGCAAAGATCAGTGGTATTCGTAAAGGTGGATTAAATGGAATTTTAATGGGTATTGTGTGGAGTATGATCTTTTGTACTTATGCTCTGGTATAGGCATCTTTGTTTTTCAATATCCTAAGTGATCTATTTATTTCGTAGGGTTTTTGGTATGGAGCTAAGCTAGTTCGTGAAGACAATTTTTCAGTTGGTGGAATTCTTATTGTAAGATGATACATGATTGAATAGATCGATGCTTTTACGTGTTTGATTTCTATTGAGGTATTTTTTTCAATGATCACAGCAATGTTTGGCCTTGGTCAAGCAGCACCTCATCTTCAATCAGTAGCTCAAGCACGTGGTGCAGCTTATATATTATGGAAAATAATTGATACGGTAACAAAAAACACCTAGTTAATGAGTGAAAGAATCTATTCGAATTACTTCTTTGCAGCAAAAACAATTTTGTATTAAACGCATAAATCAAAATAGAATTTCCTTTAAACTTTCATTCTTATGACTCGCATAGTATTAAAAAGAATCAGATTGTACAATCGTTGACTAATATAGAAATCACTGATAATCTGAATTCCTTACTTCGAGAAACTGCATACTTCGTCAAAACAGCTCTGATTACCATAAAACAATATTATAAATGATAAAACAGAAACACTAATCTTGCTTATAAATTCATCATCAATGCAACTTGAAAAATCAGACGACTATTATTTTTTCTAGCCATCGAAAATTTCTTGTGATAGTAAGAAGCAAATTCAAAGCGATGATATAATGGGTGATATAAAATTTTCTAATGTTCATTTTTCTTATCCTTCTCGACCCGACGTTTCCGTTCTTAATGGACTTTCATTTATGGCTCAACGTGGCGAGACAACTGCACTTGTTGGCTCTTCCGGTTGTGGAAAAGTAACCATTTTAAATTAACGTCACATTCTCACAGACTTGACCCACCG